TGCATATCAATTTACCGGTGCTTCTGGCCATCTGTGGTGCATGTCACACTTTTCTGAACTGTATCGGGGGCTCAGTGGTTTGTTCACATATATTGCAGTGTTATTGTAAGTATTATGTGAACAGGCAAAGGGGCACACACTCCAGGATGCTCTGCCAAGAGGCAATCAGGTTGTGGCAGTTCTTCATCGAGGAGAGTATCATGCCAATTGCTGACCACTTGCCCAGGGTCCAGAATCATCTCACAGACCATCTCAGCAGGAATTTTTCCCTGAATCATGAGTGGTCCCTGAAGACAAGTGTGCTCCGGATTGTCTTTGCGGCTTAGGGCATTCCGATGATCAACTTGTTTGTTACAAGCAACATCAGGAAATGTCATCTGTTCTGCTCTCAAGAGGGCCTCAGACTGGACTCCCTGTTTGACATCTTCTATCTTGGCTCCAGTTAGCACGTCTGTATGCTTTTCCCCCAATCCCAGTCATTCCACAGGTCATCCTCAAGCTGAAGGCTCATTCTCATTGACCCAGTGTGGCTGACACAGTGCTGTTTCTCTGGCCTTCTAGCACTGTCAGTTCAGCCTCCCATACCCTTTCCTCTCTATCCAAACCTACTCACACAGAATCATGGTCACACTTTAAATCCCATACTCAGTTCCCTGCTTCATGGCTAAACAAGGAGGAATTGTGGTGTTCTATGGCTGTTCAACAGGTCCTACTCAACGGTAGAAATTCCTCTACCAGAATGGCCTATTCACAGAGCCTTGCAAATCTGCAGGTATCTGCTTTGCATCCATGGATGCGGATATCTGTGGATCATTTTTGCGGATTGCAGATCGGATGTGGATACAGATTTTGTATTCATGCAGGGCTCAACCTATTTGGCAAAATGGAAGCAGTTTTTGGTGTGGTTGTTGGCCCGCAGAGTTTAACCAGTGCTGCCTTCTATTCAGGACAACTTTGAGTACTTGCTGCACCTTCAGTCATTGGGCCTTGTGCTTAGCTCATTGAGAGTACATTTGACGGCAATATCAGCGTTTCATCCCCCCTATTCAGGGACGATCAGTCTTGTCCAGTGCCACAGTAGCAAGATTCTTAAAAGGTCTTCGTTATCTCCATCCTCCAGTCCGTGAGCTGATTCCTCTGTGGCACCTTAACACGGTCCTAGCGGTTTTAATGGGACCTTCATTTGAGCCCCTGGTATCTTCTCCCTTTCCGCTTTTGTGTCAGAAGACTGCATTCCTGTTTGTGATAACATCTGCAGGGAGAGTCTGTGAGTTGCAGGCTCTGATGGCAGAACCTTCATGCACACAATTCTCTACCGATAAAGTGACTTTACAATCACACCTTGAAAATTTTGTCTAAAGTGGTTTCTCGGTTTCATTTGAACCAAGTAGTATATTTACCAGTGTTCTTTCCTAAGCTGTATTCATCTCCAGAGGAGCAGCACATTCATACATTAGATGTCAGGGGACATTTAGCCTTCTGTCTGGACAGGACTAAACAGTTTCCTGCTGTGCCTCAGCTATTTGTGTCATATGCAGATCGTATGAAGGGGCAAGAGTCTCTTCACAGACTCTCTCTAAATGGATATCCTCCTGTATCAAGACTGCATATGAAATGGCTTCAGTGGGTGAGAGTGCAAGCTGTGTCAATAGCATTCCTCAGTGATGTCCCAACCTTGGACATTTGCAGGGCTGCTACGTGGTCATCCATACATACAGTTATGAACCGTTATGCCATTACCGCATCTTCCAGGGCAGATGCAAGCTTTGGTAGGGGGCAGTCCTGCAATCCTTGTTTAGGTGGACTTGGAGCTCTGCCTCCTGGGGTGCTTGCGAATCACCTAAGTAGAATACTCAGCTGCATCTACTTGAAAAAGAAGTTATAGTTACTTACTGTAAATGTGGTTCTTCAAAATGTGATGCAGATGTGTACCCCATGACTAATCCTCTGTCCCCTCTGTATTGGAGTCTAGTCTTTGGGCACTCGGTGCCAAGGAACTGAGGGGGCTCAGGGCAGTGCTGCCTCATATAGCCAGGGGAGGGACTATGGCCATGAGTGTGAATACCGCCCCTCTATGGGTACTACTAGACAAAATTCTCTGGCTCCAGTGCACTGGGTGCACACACACTTAAGTGGAATACATGGCTTCATCACATCTCAAAGAACCAATTACTGCAAGTAACCATTTCTTGTCCTTTGGGATGGATCTGTACATCCCCGGCAAGCACAAACTGCTGAATGCAGTGGCTAGCGCTAGTGGCTGAGAGGCAGGAGCAGACTGTGTCCCCCTCAGTACTGTATCCAGGTTCACTTCCTTTGAATACCAACTAGGGGCAAAGGAACAGGTAGGAGAGACGTTTTACAACCTTTTTCCAGTCATTCATAACACATTTGTGCAACACAGGGCAGGGTTTACTTTTTGGTATTTAAGAAATGTGCTTAATATATAAATGTATTTATTAAGAAATATATCAATAGCCAATAACCAGATTATTGTAATATAAAAGTAGGTCTTTTGGATTTATTTTATCAAATAACAAAAATTAGTGTTTAATAAAATAAATTGAAAGGACATATTTTTATATTACAGTAATCTGATATTTGCTATTGATCTGTTTCTTAATAAATACATTTATATATTTAATCTTACTTCTGTGACAGGGTCGGGCCGGATGGCTGCAGGAGAGTAATAGAAGGCAGATATATTAGCCCCAGGTTAAGTAGGTCCCTTTTCCCTGGGAAAGGTAACAGGGAAGGTTCCAGAACAATCAGGGACTTTCTGGAGACAATTAAGACAGACAGGCTGATTAGAACACCTGCAGCCAATCAAGATGCTGCTAGAATCAATTAAGGCAGGCTAATCGGGGCACATGGGTTTAAAAAGGAGCTCACTTCAGTTTGTGGTGCGTGTGTAAGGAGCTGGGAGCAAGAGGCGCTAGGAGCTGAGAGTGAGAACACATACTGTTGGATGACTGAGGTGTACAAGCATTATCAGACACCAGGAGGAAGGTCCTATGGTGAGGATAAAGAAGGTGTTGGGAGGAGGCCATGGGGAAGTAGCCCAGGGAGTTCTAGCTGTCGCACAGCTGTTCCAGGAGGCACTCTAGACAGCTGCATTCCACAGGGCCCTGGGCTGGAACCTGGAGTAGGGGGCGGGCCCCCCAAATCCTCCCAACTCCTGGTCAGACACAGGAGGAGTTGACCTGGACTGTGGGTTCACGAAAACAGCCAAATTGAGGGCTGCCGTGAAGCTCCAAGGCGAGCAAATCTGCCAATAAGCGCAAGACCCACCAAGGTAGAGGAGGAACTTTGTCACACTTCCTTATGTAAAATAAAATAATGCAAAATGAGAATGGGTTAGTCGAAGTGTTACTTACAATATATCTGAAGATCAGCAAAATTTCTTTAATTTGGTGAAACCAGAACTTTGAATAGATCCTCTAACTTCATTTATATGGCTGATCAAAAATATCTGTCTTGTGCTATGGCAATGTTTAGAATGAGTCTTCAAAAGTGCTTTTAAAATACCTATTTTTAGTGATGTCAGATTATTTGGAGATAATGGTCTTCTAGTCAACAATTTTTTAAAATTACTATTTTCATTTGTACAACTATTCAGCTACTGAATAAATATTTTAGTAATCTTTTTAATATTTGTCTTTTTAAGTTTTAGTTTGTCACTTTATGCTGATCTTCTAAATTATCCAATAATCGATAAGGCAATATTTCATCTAATGAAATGAATGCGTTTGTTGTTACCTAGATTTAAATGAATGAAAGAAACATTCACCTTATGTATTAATTATATTCTGAAGTCTACTAGTTCATATATGTTACTATATGGGATTATTTTATTTTATATTCAGATTGAATAAGCACAAGCACAACCAGGGCACATAATTAGATTAAAAATCCCTTACGGTGAAGTTAATACTAAATAATTGAGCTTTACTGTTATACAGTAGTTGATTACATTAATTTCCCCCTTTTAGTGGGGTTTGAAAGTGCTACATTGCTTCTTTCCTCTACTTTCTAGTGATGTACAGTACACTTTGGGAGTGTGAATGGGATGAATAATTGAACAGAAGCAGGATAAATATTACTTTATCAAAAACTGGGGAATTGGATGTCTGAGGGAATTAATAATGGGATATATACACCCTTTCTGCTTTATGTTACAAGAAGAGAAGGGTGAATGATGAGTTTCTTTGGTTCAACGGCAGTTCCAAAAAAAAATTTTCCGCTTGAACCAAAAATGAAACTTTTGAAATTTTCAGCCAATCAAAAAGTTAAAAAAATGAATTGTGTCAGTGTTTCTTTTTGTATTTTATTTCTTTTTAGAATCAAAGGAAAATTTGAAATTAGAAGTTATTTCAAATAAAATCAAAACTTTCATTTTGAAAATATCCAAATGAAACATTTCAGGTTTTCAGAATGTTGGGGGTGTTCCCCCCCATAAACAATTTGATTAAATTGACACTAATTTGAGTATTGTTTTTGTATCGCTGAATCATCATTTTTCACCAAAAAAAATTTTGACTGTAAAATTTCCCTAGCTCTAGTTAAAAGTACAAAAGCTTGTCCTGGGTGATATTGACCAGAAAATGGTTATTTGGTAGCTTTCTGACTTCGATAATTTTTCAGAGAGTTTATTGTATGCTCATTGACCAATGCTGTTATTTGGTAGCTATTGAGTGTCTTAAATAAAATTAATTGGTGGTCTCAGTCCAGTTCACATAACAAATTGTCACTATTTTGGGGTAGTCACAGCAGTGGTCAATGAGCATTTTCTGTGATTTGGTCTTTAATGGGAATTAAGACAATGGAATACCTTACGTGAAAAAGTCTTTGGAAAAATAAATGGAGATGTGAGATTTCATATAATTTGAAATGCTGTGCTGTATAGTGTTGCTTTTTCTGATTTATGGTTGGTTAAAATTCTTTTCATTTTCTACATACATTTGTTAATTGGTTATGTAATTGTCTTTCTTTTGTATCAGGTTGATAAAACAAAACAAGTTTCCACCTATCAGGAAGTGATCCGTGGAGAGGGAATATTACCTGATGGTGGAGAATATAAACCACCGTCTGATACACTGAAAAGCAGAGACTATTACTCGGATTTCCTAATTACACTGGCAGTGCCCTCGGCAGTAGCACTGGTGCTTTTTCTAATACTTGCTTATATCATGTGCTGCCGACGGGAAGGAGTGTGAGTACTTTAATTAGTAATTGTAGATTTTTCTGAGATTATAATTCATATGAAAGCATTCTGTAGAAGTGTCATTCAATTCATAAAAACACTTTTTAAACAGACGAGCAGAAATATTTAATATTTTCCATCTAAACATGCTTTAAAATTAATAGTAATCTCCAAGAGAATGGATTTAGGGACTGTAGTTCTATTCAAAATGGTTAAATCATCCATGCACAAAAAAAGTAAAATAAAAATAAAGGACCCACCAATTCAGGACAATTATTTAATTGGACTAAAATTTTCATTCACTGAACATTAATTTTAAAGACCCTAACTCTAGTAAAATAAATATTGCTAAGGACCTAAATTGAATTTAGGATTATAAAAGCCAAACATATGAAACAAAAGCAGCAAGTAACGTAGTTTCTTCCATCTCTTACATGTACCCTGATTTTATTTTGTCATAGTATTTATTTTAGCCAGAAGCTTTTTCCTTAACTTGCATTTTCATTCACTTGTGTGTGGTTGTCTGTCTGTCATCAGTATCAACAGCTCTATGTGTGTGCTCATCCAGTTCTTATCATTAACCTGGTGGCAAATGCTACCAACTTAATTTGGTGGTATCAGTGTCAGCATTTCCACATCATGTACTGTTTCCATCAGCAGATAGATTTAATGTTCCAACTATCAATGCTATTATTTAATTCATAAATTTTGTTTTGTTTTTAGGGAAAAGAGAAACATGCAAACACCAGAGTAAGTGTCTTCTTTCCTGTTATTTTTCTTTCTCATTTAATTTTCATTTCTCAGTAGCTTGTCATGCTTCATACATGTGTCATGCTCTTCTCTCACTCTCCTTGATTCACAGTCTAATTCATATATGTGAAAGCTGCTATAAAACAGAGAGGTGTGGCAAGGCTAGCAGGTCAGAATAAAAAGGGTTTGAAATTAATAAAGATCAGTTTAATGTAAAATCATTTAGAGTAATAATATTATGTAATTAATGTTCATGCATATGTGATGGCCAATCTACATTTTTACAAAGCAATGGACAGATGAAAGAACTTTCATGAAAGGTATTCCGTGCCTACATAATATTCTGCCATAAAATTGAAGCTGCTGTGAGTATTTAGGAATCCAGCACAAGAAACAACAATATAAAAGTTACCAAAACTTTTATGTTTACAGCAGGAAATAAATGGAATATTAACATTAGATTGCATATTCTAAGATATTTTAGAAAAATACTTCTTCATACAGCATAGTCTGACGGAACAATTCTTTTTTTCAAAATTAAATAACTTAAATATTTGTTTTATACTGAAGCTGTAGTATAATTGTTCTACTGATAGGCTGTAGTATGCATCAAAATCCTTGTATTTTAAAGAAAAAACAATTTTCAGTGGTTTTACAAAACTATCCATATTCTTAGAACCCTTTTAAGAAAAATATGTATTTTATTTCCTTTTAACATAGTATCCAGTTGGTCCACCACAGTGCTATACAGAAATCCACCAAAGAGCTTCGTGAGATGTCCAAAAATAGAGAGATAGCATGGCCTCTTTCAACACTTCCTGTGTTTCACCCAGTTACTGGTGAGATTATACCACCTCTTCACACAGACAGCTTTGATAATACTAGCATGCCACTAATGCAAACACAGCAGTAAGTATCAATTTAGATCTTTAATGCCTATAATGATTATGATATACAATTTAGCTGTGGAAGCCAGTGTTATTTCTCTGAATATATTCATGTACTATGTATCTCCATAGTTAAAGTTGCTTTGAAATTTGCATTTAAAGCAGAAATGAAATCTTAGTTTCACTAAGATGAACCAACAGAACTATGCAGATATATCAGCTACTTCCATTGCTATCAGCCTTCCTCCCAGACTAGAGGCAAAACATCACTGAAAACCAGAAATGATCATTTCCATTCTTCAAAACTTAGCTTGTCAAAAAAATTAATCTTGCTCTATCCCTGATGCTCTTGTGGTCTTCTGGACATATCTCTACTGAGTCAAGGTGGAAGGTTGGACTCTGGGAAAGAGATGGGGCTGTAGAAAGAGTGACCAGGGATGTGAGGCAGTAGCCTGAAAGTAGGGCTTGGAGGATCATGGTTTATACCGTGGTTCACTGAGGCAACAATGCTTGGGGAGGCAGGTGCCTCTTCACAAAGGCACTGGCATATCATAGGCTTCTAATGGCACTACTGCCTGGGTCCATTGGAAAGTAGAAGCAGCAATACCGAGGGAGCTCTTTAAGTATTGATACCTTGATGCAGAAACACTACACTACCTCAGCTTCCTTACACAGTTTTGTTCTCCCACCAAAAACCTTTTCACCCCCACATATCCCCAGTCACCACCTTTGCTCCCCTTCTTCCTTAATCAACCACTTTGCTCCTCAGATATTCTGACGCTTCTTCCAATTCCTCATAATGCACCATACAGCAGCTCTATAGGAAACCAAGGAAGGGTGAAGAGCCATGAAGCAGTGGGATGAGGATGCAGGGAAATGAATAGGGGATATAGGGGTATACAGCAGGGGTATGTTAGGAGAGGATTGGAAAAAAGTGGGACTTCAAGCTGCAAGAGCCACTGACGATAGGAATGGGGAAGAAAAAGCAGCTTGTTAAGAGTATAGCTGCTCCTTCCCAAAAGCCCCTCCTAGCTCAGGTCTGCTGTTTTTCTCTTGCTCTCCACTATAACCTTGTTGTCCCTTTTCTCCATGTGCCTCTTTCCCCGTATCCTCATTTACATGCACATCCTGAGTCTCCCCCTACAGCTTCATATATGCACGTAAATTTCTTCCAAGTTGCTCCTCCACAATGTTGCTTCTCCAGGCCTCCACCTTGAGCAGCCCTATGCTCCCCACAGCTCTGTGGGGACCAGCAATACAGGAGGGAGAGCATATTGTGGAGTGGGGCAGTGGGAACAGGTTTGCACAGGTTGACATAGGTGAGGGCAAGTCTGCAGGTTTCAGCACAGGAAATGGGGCTGTGAAATATCCCCACCAAAAAGTTTAGTCAGCTTTGGTTTAAGGTGACCAGTCTGCATATTCCATCACTACAAACTATAAAAAGCAAAGAAATAAGCTGGCAGTTAAGTCATTTAGTAGTCAGTCGACACTTCACTCTAGAGCTGGCCAGAAAATTCTTATGAAAAATTTCACATTTTCGGGGGGGAAACCCATCCCAAATTGGGACAAAAATTTTAACGGGAAGGGAGTTCCAGAAAAATTATGTTTCAAGAGAACCAAAACAAAATCATTAGGTTTGCTGGCTACAAGCTGGGAAGGCACTTGTAAGTGAAACTGAGCTGTCATTTTAATTTTCTGTCAGAAATTTTTTGTGGGGCAAAAATTTGATTATGCAAAAAGGGCACTGTCTGTTGAAAAATTCCTGATCAACACTACTTCACTCATCAATTCCCCTTCTTAACCTATATTTACCTCTCCTCCAGCATCCTCAGTCAAAATATTTCTACCATTACATTTTGTGTAGGATGATAATCAGTGTTGCCAACTCTTGCAATATGGTGTGTTTCTTAAAGCCCTACCTGTGGGAAGTATGTGGTTAGGTGAGCATCTCAGCTTTAGTTTTTATTTAAAATGTGTAGGTTTTATGGTTGCAAAGAGAAGCTTGAAAACATTATCTAGTACACCCTAATGGCACAAAACCCAGTAGCTAAATAAATGTTGGGTTCTTTTTGTTTTATAAAAAACATGATTGCTTTGGGGCCTGACTCATAATTTGTAAATGCTTGGCAATACTGTAATAATAGAAATAGAACACTGCAATAATTAGAGAAAATCTATTTTTTCTCTAGTTCTCAAAAAAAAAATTAATGTTTACATTAGAACTACTTTTGTTGACCTTTTCATTGAGTGTTGAAAATCTCAGTAATAATATTGCGCTAATGCAGGAAAACCAGAAAGTGAAATTGAAGTTTCACTATCCAAACTGAGTGAAATACAAAAAGTAAATAAAACAGCAAAAATGATAATACAAAATAATCTTATAATTGGTAACACAAGGAGCTTTTTAAAAAATTGTGTATTACTTTTTATCTCAACAGTGTCTCTTTACTGTCATTGCATTAGAGTATAACATTTTCATTTTAAAGAAGAATTATATGTATCAGTTTAGGACTACCTCTGATTCATATTTCATATAGTACACATATTACTAAAGTGACATTTAGTTAAGAACTGTCATCTTGTTTCATATCTACACTGTATAAATATTAAGACATATTTTGGATACCAACGTCATAATAGTGGATTAAACAGAAGGGATTAAAATTCTCTCCACAGTTACTCAGGCAACATTGTTGCAGTCTTGTCTCAACCTGTACTTTTAAATAGATATCTCAATGTAAAAATATATTAGAGAATATGAAATAAATTGGTTTAGAAAAGTATTTTTCTGCTTTCCTCTGCTCTGCTCAAACATGCTTACTCCAGCCCTTTGCAGTCATTTTCAGTTGTTTTTCCTCTGAAGTCAGTGGAAACAAAACAAAAAATAGCCATTTCTGTTGAAGTTTCACAAAAACATTTTCCCATGCACCCTCTGCTGGCTCATCGTAAGCAGTTAGTTGACATTTCCAAGAGCAAGAAGCATTCCTATTTGTGCTTTTAAATAAATAATTTTTGATTTTTGCTGTGATTAATAGACTTAAACATCAAATTCACTTTCACTGATTGGCTTCTGTTTCAGTTATAAAGATGTAATGGAGAATTGGACAAAATTAGTAGGGAACATACAGTAACAACCTGCAAATGCCCAAATGTGGGGAGTAATCTAATGTGAAGGACACAATAAATTTTGTTGTTAATGCAGGGGGGGAAAAATAGGATGGAGTTAATTTCTTCAGCATACATAACATTCAGTAAGATTCTAGTTTAAAATTAGGGCTGCCCCGCATACATTTTTGAAAGGTATGTTATATTTTCAAATCTGAGAGCATTATAAACAAAGGCAAAGAAACTGCTTATCTTATCTTTATGTGGGGGAAAATCAATTCAAGAAAAAATCTGCCATTAATAAGGAAGATGCTGGAGATGAGAAGAATGTGTATGCCCAGCAAGTCCATCTTCCTGGCAAGAGGAGGTTGTTTCTTAAAGTGCTTTCATCAGTCTGTATGGGCCAAATTATGATATCTTTATTCAAGTTGTGTAGTAGCTTACTCCTCTAATTGATTTTGGTGTGTGACTACTCACCAAATAAGGTATAATCAATTTGAATAAGGTTACTAGAATCTGACCCTAATTGTCTCATGTAATGGGGAATTCTGCACCTTTCTTGGGCATTTATTCCACATTCTCACACATCTCTGTTTGATAACTTTTCCTACCATTTAGCTATTACTCCAGTTATTTTACTTATATCCCCATTTACTACTCTAACCACTCTCCCTTGTTCAGATCTTACAGATAGTTTTAGACAGCAATGTTATTCCCCCACTGTCTATTTAGTTCCTTTCCTTTTTTCTCATTATTCAATGCCTCTGCAGCCCCCTAATTATACTTATTGATTTTCTTGGATATCCCTCCCACTTATCTATCTGTTGGTATTGAGGTACTGAGACTGGTACTGAGACTAAACACAAACTAAACACAACTAAACAAAATGTGGAACATTTTAGGTGTAGTTCCACAATGCAATGGGAATTGAAGGTTGTCCATTCCTCACATTATTGAGTCTACTAAGAGGGACTGTCATGTCCCTGCTCCATGACATAGCACTTTTTGTCTCTGGGGAATATTATTATTTATATTATGGTAATGCTCACAGCCCACAATCAGAATTGTAGCCCATTTGTTCCAGATATAAACACATGCTGAGGAAAAGTGAAAGTGCAAGAGGCCATTATCAGGCTGTGCTATCCTTGCAGTCAAATAGTAAATTTAAAACTATCTTTTTTTTACAACTGTTATCCCCTGCCCCACATGACGGTTAATAATTTTTCAAATTGATTCTTACTTTGTGACCACATTTCTGACCTTTCTAGATTTCTTTGTATCGCTCAGTCTCCATGATGTTCACCTCACAATTTGACGTACCTCACTGAGGAACATCTCCGCATCGCCGCATCTAGCTCCTTGTTACAAGGATTTTCTCTCCCTATAGATTTGTACTAGCATATTTTAGTTGTTGTTGTAATAAAATTAATACTAGTGACAATACTAATGGGCCAATCCTGCAATTCACTCCTCTGCCCTCTTGAATCGCTGCTGGCTTCAATGAGGGCTCTTTGCAGATGCAGCAGCATGCCTGTATGTAGTGAATTATGGGAGCAGAACCAAAGTCAGTATCATCGTCAAGATGATAGGCTCTTTAGTTCCTCTTCCAGATTATGTATTGTTATCTCTTTTGATCCAGGCACCTAGCCCATTTTCAGGGTCTGGTGGGTTGTTTGCATCTGGTGGAGACATTGATAATGGAATCAGATATTTCTTTGATGCAATCTTGTTTATTTACAACAAATGCACACAAAATCCCATTGTCCTGAACACAGTAGGAACCAAACAACAGGAGGCAGTTTCTTTGCTTACAGTTCCAGGCCTGCCTTTCCAGCCAGCACCCTGCTCAAAAAGCATTCTCTCTCTCTCTCAGGACCATGCTCCCTGTGCTTCTGGTGTTAAGACACAAACACCTTCACCAAGCAATACCCAGCCACACACCCCGCACTTGTTTGCATTCATTCTGCAGCAAAACACCTCCATCCATAGCTCAGATTCTCTGACTGCCTTATATGTGGCCTGTGTTTTGGATGGTGGCTCCTATTGGTTCAGCTATTTTGCTTTAATAAGGAACTTAACTGTTTCTTATATTTATCCTGAATGAAGGGAGTCTCTCACACCCATCAGCTTCAATGAGGTTTCACCCTATCTCTGTCATAAGCGTTATATGTGGAAACAAGAACTACACTTTTAATTACTCCAAAGTAGTAAAACAAGCAATGTGGATGCTTTGTAAAAATTTAATTTACATCTGAAATGTATTCATAAAATTGGATACAAATAAAGAATGTAGCAAAGATGGAGGTTGTAACATTGTCATGCTGTCCTATATTTCGGAGTGAAGGTTGCTGTGGTTTTTCCATAAAATGTAATATTGTATATTATAAATATCAATTGAATATGTACATTCTTGGTAGTTACATTGAGAATATTGTTTTACTTTTTACTTCAGTGAGGGGAAGTTCCTTCAAGAAAGGACACAACATATTTTCTAGAAGAGAGTATGTCTGGAATACAATGTTGTCACAGCATAAGGGCTCCTGCTGATAGATGAATGCTAAAGAGAAACTAAGACTTTGCCTCAGTGTTTATTTTTAAAGCAGGAAGCATTGATCCTTTCACAGTATTCTATTACCAAAACAGTTTATTCCCATTATATTTAGTGACTGATGGATTTTGTGGGGTGAACTTACTCTAACGTAATTGGAAAACTGTATCCGTATTTGCTCTTTGATATAGTCAGTCAGAAAACAGCTCATCTGTTAAAAAAAAACAAACAAAAAAAACTTTTAAGATACTGTATTTTGTATGTAAGATGGTTGCTGCCAGCTAAGTTTTTTGTCTTGTAGTTTTACAATTAGGCATGCAGAAATTATGTGGATTTGATTTAGTATACTGAAAATATTAATCGCAGACATGTGTGGCATGTTCTATGCTAGACATACCCTAGCTTCTGCTGACATACTGGATGTTCTCATTTCTCTCCTACCTGGCACAAAGTGTGGCTGCTTACAACAAACCTCAATTAACAGACCAATTAGGCTTTGCATAGTTTGTCCAGGCTTATGTGGCCTTTCCTGTATTTTGAAAGGCAGCTTCTTCTGCACATTAAGTAGCAAGTTGTTAAATTAAAACATATTTAGTTCTATATTTTGATAAGCACTATCTGTATCATTCCATTTGCTTTTCTAACTAGTATAATCAGAAATTAGAACTGATTAGGTAAGCACATTTATGTATGCTTCTAGTGCATTGAAAACAACTGAAGTTGGGCTGTGAAAGTATATTTATGCCCCATATGTTGTGTTAGCCATTTTTAAGGACTTGCCTATATCCATGAGAGGATACTTCCCTGCCTAACTTTATGCACTCAGACCTTGGTCTTTCAAATGCTTATGCACTTGTTTAATTTTACTCAGATGAATAGTTGCTTTGACTTTAGTGGGATTATTCATGTGATTAAAGTTAAGCATGTGTATTGGTGTTTTCATGACTGGGGCTCTAGTGTTACCCTAAATTTTAGATGCCAATTATGTTACCTACAAATTTGCATGGGCTCTTAGCGCCTTGAGCACAAGCCCACCAGTTATGTTAGCCTATGATAGGGCTTCTGATTTAACAAAAGGGTAACAAGGTTCTGGCCCATCCTAAAGGAATTGCCAGGGTGTTACTGGGGGCCTGTCTACGACCTGCAGAGGGCTCCCCAGAGCAAGCTATTTTAGCTAATCCCTGAAAGGGCACGGATACAGTCTTCCGCTCAAGGATTGACCCACATAAGCAGAAATTCTTGAAAAACAAAAGATTTATTTATTTAACAGAAATAAAAAAAATACAGAGAGTTTAAAGCAAGAAAAGATACATAGGACTTAATAAAACGCAATAGAATTACGTTTAAGAATTATACAATAAAGCAGTGCAACAAAATAAAATACACAGGAGACTTAGACTATGTAGCATTTACAATGTAATAGGCATATAGAGACCCCGCATACACAAAGGCTTTAGTCTTAGTGTTCAAATCTAATACTGTACTTAATACAAGGTAGTATACGCGGCCTCTATATATACATCTGAGAAACCATTACCATATTCACAGATTAAAAATAAAATGTTTACTTAACACTAACCACTTAACACCTAACATTTAATATCTAATCATATAACATTTAACATACCATGAGCGGTGATCAGCTGGTCGCAAGATGGGTAGGGGAGATCTCATTCCGAAGCACAGGCATCCAGCTTTTGACAGACATACCCAGACACCCTTGAACAGGAGATGGTAAAATCAGACTTACACTCTATCTTCTTAATTCCCTCTGACCCGTCTCAGGGGTCCTTCTGCTCTGTCAGTATCTGGAGATCACGGTGTCAGCACCTGGAGACGATGGTTGCTGCTGCTGCAGGCGTAGCGGCAGTTGCTGCTGATTGCGCTTCTATGAAAGTCGTTGCCATGGTGACCTTTAGAATTCTGCTGCTGTTTTTTTTGGGTAACTGTTTTCCGGAATCTTCTTAAGATGCTGCTGCAGTTGTCTTAGTCTCTGCTGTTCTGGTTGCTGCTTGAGGCTTCTGATCTTCACAGGCCCCCAAAACCCCACACTTTCAGCCTGGTAGCTGTGGGCCTTATATACTAGTTGCTCTCTCAAGGTCAGCTCATCTCAGCTAATCAGCTTCTAGCTTTTCTAGCACCTCCCCATTATGTCATACCTATTTTTAGATACATAGCTCGTCCCCCTGAGACCATCTTGGGTAGAGCACCTCTCCCTGATGCCATCTTGGGTAGAGCTCCTTCCCCTGTGTTGCTGGAGACTTCTGGAATTTTCCACTCTCTAAATTTAAACTACGTCATCCCCATCACCGCCATTTTGTCTGCCATGTTGGATTCTCTAATTTTACACTATAATTAATTTCTACTTATCTAGAGCCTAAATCTTAGAATTACTGCTTTATGCAAATCAAAGTGTCCTGATACTGTCACCACCTTAACTATGTAAATTGAGAGAAGTGAATTTTAACAGTGTTTTTAAACCCCCTCTGAGGTTTTTCTCTGCTGGTCTCTATCAAGGTGCTGCAACGTTTTTCAAAACAGCTAAAAGCAAAATTTCTTGTTACCCTGGAGCCAAGGATAGATGCTTTTTTTCTCCTTTTAGTTATAAATGAAATAAATAAATGCACCTTTAATTGCCTCACCTGCACTCTGACCACTAATCCACATCTGCTAAGACTACTTCTAACAAGAGCTGTCAAGCGATTAAAAAAATTAATTGCAATTAATCATGTGATTAAAAAATTAATTATGATTAATCGTGCTGTTAAACAATAATACAATACCATTTATTTAAATATTTGTGGATGTTTTCTACCAATTACAACACACAATACAACGTGTACAGTGCTCAGTTTATATTTATTTTTATAACAAATATTTGCACTGTAAAAAAAGAAAAGAAATATTTTTAAATTCCCGCATTGCAAGTGCCGTAGTGGAATCTCTTTATCACGAAAGTTGAATTTACAAATGTAGAATTATGTAAAAAAAACCCCTGCATTCAAAAATAAAACAATGTAAAACTTTAGAGCCTGCAAGTCCACTCAGTCCTACTTCTTGTTCAGCCAATTGCTCAGAGAAACAAATGTGTGTATGTTTTCTGGAGATAACGCTGCTCGCTTCTTGTTTACAGTGTCACCTGAAAGTGAGAACAGACGTTCACATGGCACTGTTGTAGCCAGTGTCACAAGATATTTAAGCGCCAAATGCCCTAAAGATTCATATGTCCTTTCATCCTTCAGCCACCATTTCAGATGACATGCATCATTCTGCTCGATGACAATCCAAAGCAGTGCGGCCCGACGCATGTTCATTTTCATCATCTGAGTCAGATGCCACCAGCAGAAGATTGATTTTCTTTTTTGGTGGTTCAGATTCTGTAGTTTTCACATCAGAGTGTTGCTCTTTTAAGACTTCTGAAAGCATGTTCCAGATGTAGTCCCTCTCAGATTTTGGAAGGCACTTCAATTTCTTAAACCTTAGGTTAGATGCTGTCTCTATCTTTAGAAATCTCACATTAGTATCTTCTTTGCATTTTGTCAAATCTGCAGTGAAAGTGTTCTTAAAATGAACAATATGTGCTGGGTCACTATTTGAGACTTCTATAACATGAAATATATGGTGGAATGTGGGTAGAACAGAGCAGGAGACATACAGTTCTCCCCCCAAGAGTTCAGTCACAAATTTAATTAATGCATTTTTTTTAACGAGCATCTTCAGCATGGAAGCATGTCCTCTGGAATGGTGGCCAAAGCATGAAGGGGCATATGAATGTTTAGCATATCTGGCATGTAAATACATTGTAATGCTGGCTACAAAAGTGCGAATGCCTGTTCTCACTTACAGGTGACACTGTAAATAATAAGCAGGCAGTATTATCTCTCGTAAATGTAAAAAAAGTGTTTGTCTTCGCGATTTGCTGAACAAGAAGGAGGACTGAGTGGACTTGTTGGCTCTAAAGTATTACATTAGTTAGTTTTTGAGTGCAGTTATGGAAAAAAAAATCTACTTTGTAAATTACACTTTCATGATAAAGAGATTGCACTACAGCACTTGTATGAGGTGAATTGAAAAATACTATTTCTTTTGTTTATCATCTTTGGAGTGCACGTATTAGTAATCAAAACTAATAATATAAAGTGAGCACTGTACACTTTGTATTCTGTGTTGTAATTGAAATCAATATATTTGAAAATGTAGAAAAACATCTAAAAATATTTAATAAATTTCACTTGGTTTTCTGTTGCTTAACAGTGCAATTAAAACTGCGATTAATTTTTTGAGTTAATTGCGTGAGTTAACTGATTAATTGACAGCCCTACTTCTAACATTCAAAACCTCCTCAAATAGCCACTTTAAAAAAAAAAGGCCAAAAAGTGTTTCTCTTTTCTTCCAAAATAAGAAATTTACCTTTATAGTTACACTGGTCTATCTTTACATTTCTGTATTTCAAGTGTCTACATTTTTAGAATTCAGCTTGCTTCACCTTCCTTCTGTTGTGCTACATTTAAACATTTAAACATGGGTAACATAATGAGACTCATATTACTGTGCTTTAGCAATAATCTAGTTCTTTGCTTATGTTGAACTGCTTAGCCTTTTGGCCACTTGGTTTATCCGCTTGGAGAAAACTAGGCTATTGCCTCATAGAAGAATGATGCGTGTACAGTTTAAATACCATGACTGTGTTCATAGATGTGTACGTACATAATATACAGATGTTTTAAAGATGTTAAATTATTATTTTTAGGATCCTGCCACATCAGACTCAGATTCCACAGCAGCAGACTGCAGGTCAGTACCAAAAAAATGCTGAAAGTTCAGGTGATAATGGGCAGCACTGAGCACCCAATACTTACTCAACCTTTGGCGTGTGGAAACAATTTTGAAATGTTATAAGATGTTGCGAAATTATAGTTCCAGTTTTCATGGAGAAATCACTGGAAACATTTGGCAGGGGACAGCTTGAGAGTAGGCAGAAAGGTTACAGTGCAAGTGGGACTAGTAACACAGATCCAGTGAAGTTAAAACAGAGATCTTCTTACATAGACTAGCCTCTCACCCCAACAGCTAGCCACATCTAATTTCATCTTGCTACTGTCAAGAACAGTGAGTGATAAAACAGCACTTTTGTCTTGCTTTTACCAGATATAAACAATGGAGATTGGGGAATTTCTGGGCAGAACAATTAAATCCAGGGTGTAGATTTCCATTGGCCTTCGTGAATGAACTCCATCTGTCTAGAGCGCAAAAATGTGAGGTATCATCAGCTGCTTGTCTTCGGTTAGCATCTCTGATTTGAGAGAGAAATCTACATTTGTAGAAAAGAGGATAAGAATCATACTAGGAAAATACAGTGGCCAAAATGGGTGGGTTGTTCAGTGTGTATGCTAAGGACAACCAACTCTGAGATTGCTCTTGGGAGGGAAAGTATCCACAACAACGGAAACAAGAGTTATACATATCATAATGTGTGTGCACCTCTTAGACAAAGGTTTGTCTTATATGTAAGAAACCCTTGTTTGGTGTTTTCATTCAAAATTCTTCTTCTTCATTACTGCTTTCGGGGATTAAAGGAGAATTTCGTATGACAACATTTCAAAGATTTGAGGCAAGTATATAATAGATGTTTATGCCCTTGTGTTTTTTAGTTATCTAAGAATTAAAAACACATGTATAAAATTTGATAATTCTGCACAATATCATTACATGGCTTTAATTATGTTTTCAGATAATTTTAAGAAAGTGGTAGGTGGCACAGTGGTTCTCTGTCCTGAGACTTAGGGTTTAAATTTAGTGAAGTTCATCCCACAGAGAAAAGTGTTGTTTTGGTCAGTTGTAAAAACACCACACAATTCAGCCTTTTAAAAAAAAACAACAAAAATTAGTTTCCACTCAAAAGAAACCAAGTTTTAGACAAGGTCAGATTGAAGTGCATGGTTCTAGACAGAAGAGACTTGCACAGCTTTCACTGTTCTTTTTGAGAGCATTTGAAAATGATGTGTCCCCCTTGTTCAATATTTATGTTACTAGCAACTATACAGTGGTGCTATTTCATGGAAACTTAGTGGCAGATATTCTTTCCAGAAACAGATTTGGAACTATGGATGTGCTGGCAAATAGAAGGAATAGAAATAGTTACTGAAGTTGCTATTCTCACTGTGGATGTCAGGTTCAAGGAGTAATTGGACTAACTGAAGCATCCATGTCCTCTGCACCTAGAAGCTGATAGCACTCCTCACTCTACTTGGCAACTTCTGCCCCATAATTTAGATCTCTAGCAATTGGGGGTAAAATTCCTGTGAAACATTAGTAAATTGTTAGTAAATGGGAATGGTGGTGAAAATCCCAGTCTTTGCTCATTTGAGTGGAAACAAAAGAGGATCAGCAGCAGAAGAGGACATTACAATAGGAATGAAATCTGCCATCATGTCCCCTAGCTTATCTGATCAGAAAGATGTTTCATTTTGCAATTCACGTGAGAGGTTGTTGACCAGATGTTATATGTCCCTTCCTTCCCTTTCTCTCAAATAAGAAGTGCTTGTTCTGACATCCCCAAAGTTAGCTCTCACATGACTGTCTATTTGGGCCAGATGTTCTGGTGTGTTCCATCATGTCTCTTTTATGGAAATAGCCACATCAGACTAGCTACACGTTTTCCTATAGCTTCCAAGAATTTGGCAGTTAAAAACCACACAAAGAAACCCAGGAAAACAGGAGTCCCTACACTCACCGGCTCCCAGGAGAATCAGGCTTTGAGAGCGCCCCAGCCTCCCCTACCCTGCTTTTTACCCCTCCTGGCTAGCTTGTGGCTACTTTGGAGAAAGGGATTTAGGGTCTTTTCTTCTCTACTCCCCATCCCTTGCCAGGGACCTTGGGAGGGAGTTGCCATCATAGCTCAGTGCACATGAAACACACACCCCTACCTCAGCAGCAGTGACACAGCCTTTCCTCCCCCCCCCTCACCCCCACAAGCGCACCACAGCTCCCTACCAGGCCAGGCTGCCAGGGGCTCATTTCAGTACTGGTAGGGACCAACCTCTGTGCCCCAGGACAGGACCATGAACAGGTTTCGCATCCCCACCCTTCCTAAACAGCACCCTTGGCCTATGCCACACTCCCTGAGCCCCACCCTTGGCCTATGCCACACTCCTTATCCCTCCCTGCCAGCACACGGCTTCCTGCAGCATTGAGAGGAGCTCCTGAGAGTTTCAGCTAGAGGGCAGAGTGGGACGCAGGTGCCAGCCATGCTCCTGTCAGAGGCTCTGCTCACCACTGCTTCTCTTCCTACTCCTGCTGGCCCCTGGCACCACAAGAAGCTGCTATGGGTTCTGCCAGGTTGAGGTCCTGAGTGTTGGCTGCTCTCTCAGCCATGTGAGATGCGTGTTAAGTACCAGGTTGCTGCACAGATGCGCAGCTTAAAGGGAACATTGACGGGGACCCTGTCCATCTGTGTTTGTCCAGCACCTAGCACCACAATCCAATTGGGGCTTCTGGGCTCCCCCATAATATAACTAATACATAATTATTGGTGTATTTTGCATTACTCATGAATACGTTTTCCAGGAATATATTGCCCCCCCCCTTTTTTTTTTAAAAACAAATATGGGGTGAGAGGGGTTGCGATTAGTAAGGCCACAAAGAATTTGCACAGGATGAGTAAAATCAAATCCTTGTCCGTGGTGTGTACATTAATTGTTATATATACACTCAACACAATGCTACCTACAAGATAGGTACACCTCTGCAACTGTGGTTACTTTCCTCTCTAGCAAGGGTGGGCAAACTTTTTGGCCTGAGGGCCACATCGGGGTATGGAAATTGTATGGCGAGCCATGAATGCTCACAAAATTGGGGGTAGGAGTGTGGGCTCTGGCTGGGGGTGCAGGCTCTTGGGTGCGGCCAGAAGGAGTTCAGGGTTCAGGAGGGGGCTCCGGGTTGAGGTGTGGGGGGAGCAGGATGGTTCTGGCTGGGGGTGTGGGCTCTGGGTACAAGAGGGGGCTCCGGGCTGGCATCGACTGGTTTGGAGGGAGGGAGATCAGGGCTATGGCAGGGGAGAGGGGAATGGGGAGGGCAGGGGGGCAGGCTCCAGCCACTTCCTGCAAGCAGCTCCCAGAAGCATGCCCCCCCACCCCCGGCTCTGAGGTGCAGCCAGGCGGCATTGCATGTTGCCCTGTCCACCTGGCTATGCCTCCATGTACTACGTAGGAGCCGGAGGGGGGGTCATTCCAGCTGCTTTCTGGGAGCCATGCGGAGTGGGACAAGCCCTGGACCACACTCCCAGGCGGGAGCTGAGGTCCAGATGGGGCCTGTGGGCCCATACTTTGCCCATCCCTGCTCTATAGGCTGGGACAGGCAGCACTCAGCATCACTTTTCACTGCACGTGGGTGAGTTAGCGCATATATCACTTTTTTCATCTCCAGTTCAAGCACCCTTTGGGCCAAGCTCATAGTGATGGAAAAAACAACCCCTTCTCTTGCATTGGTCAGTCCCTTTCTTTCCCTTTCCACTCATTTTATTGGATGATAATTGAACCTCCTTCTATGGTCTGGTTGTACAGGGAAAAGTTGCACCCCATGATATAATGGAAGTACTTCCCTGACATTATGGCACGTGGCAGTTGCAAGATGTCTTCTAACTGGAAATCTATCACCTGCATTAGCAGAAGAATGGATTTTTAGTATGTTGTTGACTTTGACTAGGACGTAGGAACTTGAACATTTTACCCAGCGTCATTATCAAATTAGCGTAACTATATTCCACTATATTTTCAAATGGAATTTTTACACATACAAAACATTTACAGGTCAGGAAAGTTACAGAAATAGTTTCCCTTTTTGATTTGAAGAGTTAAGAAATTGAATTTCTATCAAAAATATAAATAATATTGTAACTGTTCAACAAAATATAAATAACTGAGCACTTGATTTTAAGAGGCCCCGTAGACACCGCTAATTAGTATTTAATGAGAGGGAGAAGAGAATATGGCTAGTAACTGTCCTTTTTGAATACCCACTAAACAAATTTTCCACTGTATGTGTTACCTCATGAGGACTTCTAAAAGTATGACAACTAGACTAATATTCGCCGACACTGATGTTGTACTTTCAACAAAGGGTGGAATTGTGCCAAGATAAAAACAAGTGCGGAGAGATAAAAACTAGGGCTGTCAAGTGATTAAAAAAATTAATCGCTATTAATCACACTGTTAAACAATAATAGAATACCATTTATTTAAATATTTGTGGATGTTTTCCACATTTTCAAATATATTGAATTCAATTTCAACACAGAATACAAAGTGTACAGTGCTCACTTTATATTTATTTTTATTATAAATATTTGCACTATAAAAATAGTATTTTTAAATTCACTTAATACAAGTACTGTAGTGCAATTTCTTTGACATGAAAGTTGAACTTACAAATGTAGAATTATGCACAAAAATAACTGCATTCAAAAATACAAATAATGTCAAACTTTAGAGCCTGCAAGTCTACTCAGTCCTACTTCTTGTTCAGCCAATTGCTCAGACAAACAAGTTTGTTTATATGTTTAGGAGACAATGCTGCCCACTGCTTGTTTACAATATCACCTGAAAATGAGAACAGGCATTCTCATGGCACTGTTTTAGCCGGCGTTGCAAGATATTTATGTGCCAGATGCGCTAAAGATTCATATGGCCCTTCATGCTTCAACCACCATTCCAGAGGACATGCGTACATGCTGATGATGGATTCTGCTCAATAATGATCCAAAGCAATGCAGACTGACTTATGTTCATTTTCATCATCTGAGTCAGATGCCACCAGCAGAAAGTTGATTTTCTTTTTTGGTGGTTCGGGTTCTGTAATTTCTGCATTGGTGTGTTGCTCTTTATAAGACTTCTGAAAGCATGCTCCACACCTCGTCCCTCTCAGATTTTGGAAGGCACTTCAAATTCTTAAACCTTGGGTCAAGTGCTCTAGCTATCTTTAGAAATCTCACATTAGTATCTTCTTTGCATTTTGTCAAATCTGCAATGAGTGTGTTCTTAAAATGAACAACATGCTGGGTCATCATATGAAACTGCTATAACATGAAATATATGACAGAATGCAGGTAAAACACATAGCAGGAAACATAGAAGGAGTTCAGTCACAAATCTAATTAATGCATGATTTATTTAATGAGCGTCATCAGTATGGAGGCATGCCCTCCAGAATGGTGGCCAAAGCATGAAGGGGCATACGAATGTTTAGCATATCTGGCATATAAATACCTTGCAATGCCGGCTACAGAAGTGCCGTGCGAAAGCCTTTTCTCGCTTTCAGGTGACATTGTGAATAAGAAGCGGGCAGCATTACCTCTCGTCAATGTAAACAAACTTGTTTGTCTTATCGATTGGCTGAACAAGAAGTAGGACTGAGTGAACTTGTAGGCTTTGAAGTTTTACATTTTTTTTGTTCCATAACTGCACTCAAAAACAAAACAATCTGCATTTGTAAGTTGCACTTTCACAATAAAGAGATTGCACTACAGTACTTGCATGAGGTGAATTGAAAAATACTACTTTTATCATTTTTACAGTGCAAATATTTGTAATAAAAATAAAGTGAGCACTGTGCACTCCGTATTCTGTGTTGTAAATGAAATCAATATATTTGAAAATGTAGAAAAACATCCAATATATTTAATAAATTTCAATTGGTATTCTGTTGTTTAACAGTGTGATTAAAACGAGTTTAATTTTTAATCGAGTTTAATTTTTTTAATTGTGATTAATTTTTTTGAGTTAATCGCGTGAGTTAACTGCGATTAATCAGCAGCCGTAATTAAACCAAAACGTAGTAAGTCAAAACACTCAGCTAATATATGTGTTGTACTGCTGGGAATTGCAAATAAATTACCAGATGAAGAAGTACATCCCCGGTTAACTATTCCCTTTTATTCCTTAGCCAGCTGGCAAAATCCGTGCTACCTACCTTGGGCTGTTGGTTTAACAAAATTATCAGATATTCTTGTAATACAGAAATTGTCTTAAACATAAAGATATGCAGGAATTCCCAATTTGAGTTGTACACTCTCCTCTAGTCAGGCCTCTATTAGTTCTTTAGTAACAAAGAACTGGTTGGAAAACCGTTCCCAGAGAGTAGTTCACAGTCATGCTGGAATGGCATAACAAGTGGAGTTCCGGAGGGATCAGTTCTGGGTCCAGTTCTGTTCAATATCTTCATCAATGATTTAGATCATGGCATAGAGAGTACACTCATAAAGTTTGCGGATGATACCAAGCTGGGAGGCATTGCAAGTGCTTTGGAGGATAGGATTATAATTCAAAATGATCTGGACAAACTGGAGAAATGGTCTGAAGTAAATAGGATGAAATTCAATAAGGACAAATGCAAAGTAGTCCAGTTAGGAAGGAACAATCAGTTGCACACATACAAAATGGGAAATGACTGTCTAGGAAGGAGTACTGCGGAAAAGGTAGTACTGGGGGTCATATTAGACCGCAAGCTAAATATGAGTTAACAGTGTAACACCGTTGCAAAAAAAGCGATCATCATTCTGGGATGTATTAGCAGGAAAAGTAAGCAAGACATGAGAAGTAATTCTTCCGCTCTACTCCGAGCTAATTAGGCTCAACTGGAGTATTGTGTCCAGTTCTGGGTGCCACATTTCAGGAAAGATGTGGACAAATTGGAGAAAGTCCAGAGAAGAGCAACAAAAATTATTAAAGGTCTAAAAAGCATGACCTATGAGGGATGATTGAAAAAAATTGGGTTTGTTTAGTCTGGAAAAGAGAAGACTGAAAGGGGACATGATAATAGTTCAAGTACATAAAAGGTTGTTACAAGAAGGAGGGAGAAAAATTGTTATTCTTAACCTCTGAGGATAGGACAAAAAGCAATGGGCTTAAATTGCAGCAAGGAAGGTTTAGGTTAGACATTAGGAAAAACTTTTTGTCAGGGTGGGTAAGTGCTGGAATAAATTGCCTAGGGAGGTTGTGGAATCTCCATCATTGGAGATTTTTAAAAGCAGGTTAGACAAACACCTGTCAGGGATGGTCTAGATACTTAGTCCTGCCATGAGTGCAGGGGACTGGACTAGATGATGTCTCGAGGTCCCTTCTACTCCTATGATTCTATAATTCTAGAGGGATAGATTCCCAGTCACATTGATTCTTCCCTTCCCCTCTACCCAAAAATTCTTTGGTCTAGGACAGGGGTGGCCAACCTGAGCCTGAGAAGGAGCCAGAATTTACCAATGTACATTGCCAAAGAGCCACAGTAATATGTTCCCCATCAGCTCCCCCACCCAAACCCTGTGCCTCCCGCCAGACGGCAGCCCTGCCGATCAGCGCCTCCCATTCCATCCCCGCACCTCCCAATCAGCTGTTTCGTGATGTGCAGGAGGCTCGGGGGGACGGAGGGGGTGGAGCGAGGGCACGGGCTCAGGGAGGGCGTGGGACGGGGTGGAGTGGGGACAGGGCTTGAGCAGTGAGCACCCCCCGGCACATTGGACAGTTGGCACCTGTAGCTCCAGCCCCAGAGTCGGTGCCTGTACAAGGAGCCGCATATTAACTTCTGAAGAGCAGCATGTGGCTCTGGAGCCACAGGTTGGCCACCCCTGGTCTAGGAGATGGAAAGTATCTTCAAAGTGAGTGGATTAAATTACTCTCCGTGGATTTCAGATAGTGTGATCATCCTTACATCAAAAGCGTGTTGTTATTCACATCTACCATACTTGCTTACTCCAAACAAGCTAAAAGTTATTCAGGCTTGTCTAAATACAGGAATTCTAAATAGGGAAACATGTTTGAATTTGGATTCGGGTTTGGAAGAATCTGAAAAAAAAAAGTCTGAAGTTGGCATTCATTACATCAAACGTGGACAGTTGGGTGGCCATGGACTTGAGTTGCTGACAGTTCTAATGCATACTTTGAGTTCTGGAGGCATAGAGAAAGGATATGTAATTCCTATTTATAATGGTGAAAATATAGTTCTGTATTCTAAAATGAGCTGTAACCATTAATGGATTATATACATTCTTATTTATTTACAGGTAAATGGTATCCCTGAAGAAAGAAAATTGACAGAAGCAATGAATTTGTAATCAAATAATGCAGTAATCATGTCTTATTTCCTTATTTGTGCAAATAATGCATGCGCTTTTCTGCAGTACAGTGTGCATGCCTACAGTATTAAGTTCTTCAGTGCCAGATTGTACAATCATTCCCATTTAACCAGTGTATCGTATCTTTTTTGTACTTTGGACATTTTTGACAATTTGTAAAACACTGATAACTTTTTATATTTGTTACATTAAGAAAACTATCTTTAAAATAAACATATTAATAAATATCAAACGTCGCACTATTTTTATGATCAACTGTGAATTCTAAGGAAAAAGTGAGTTCTTTCAAAGTAACAGCCAGATTCAAAGATTTTTAGACTCATTTCTATAGAAATATTTGTTTAAATGTTTGATTTAGAGGCAATTGCCTGGGCCCCCATGCCACAGGGGCCCCCATAAAGCTATGTTGCTCAGGCTTTGGTTTCAGCCCCAGGTGGCAGGGCTCAGGCCCACAGGCTTCAGCCCAATGCAGGGGGTCTTCGGTTTTCTGCCCGGGGCCCCAGCTAGTCTAACGCTGGCCCTGCTTGGAGGACCCCCTAAAACCTGCTCACAGTCCTCCAGGGGCCCACAGAACTCTGGTTAAAAACTCTAGGTGAGTTGCTGTGCCCCTGGGAAGACCTCTGCGTATGCTTAGCGGTACATGTACCCCTGGTTGAGAACCACGGCTCTGTAGAACAAGATGACCAAATGCCACATCCACAAGCATCAATAATATTTCAACTACTAATACTTGGGAAATAAATGATTAAGAATCATGTGATGAAGCAGAGAAACTGCCTGCCAGCACACCAGGGATTAAAGAGAACCTTTGTGCCCAGCTAGCCCTGCCCCGGTATACCTGCAGCCAATTCCAGGCCTGGAGCGGGGAGAACAGGAAAGAACCTGGCTGAGTTTGGGGCTGACTGGTGAAGAGGCAGGAGCCAGCTGCCTCCCTACCTGAGAAGAAAGGTCACAAGCCTGCCAAACAAGGCAGCCACCTGGGCGTAAGCACTGTCTCTCCAGCCAAGGGAGACTGCAATGGAGACCTTAATGCTTCTGACACCTGAGGTAACTGAGTGAAGCCCAGAGACATTTTGGGGCTCGGCCTCACTAACTTGCAGCTGCCCTGCCTGAAGGAGCCTGGGAGCGCAGCAGAGCACAGCCCAACATCCACAAGGGGCGCTATGGAAGGTGAGCCACCCAGTGAACTGGACTAGAGGGGCCACGCCCCAAACTGAAGAGACACTGGCAGGAAGTAGCCCAGGACAGTGGATTTAGACTCCAGGCCTCCTGGCCTTCCAAGCCCCCTGTTACAAACCATTTTACAAATTTCTTCAACTGAGGCTTCCCCTTACGCTGCTTCAGAAATATCCAGAACATGAGTTGACAGACTAGCTCTGACATTCATGGATAGAGGCTGAAGAGAAAAAAGTACAATTCAATGCTTTTTATTGCTCTATAAAGTAGTTCAGGAAAAGGAGCTGGGTAATAATAAATTAAGGTTGCTTATTTGTAACCAGAGTTCTTCAGGATGACTATATTCATGCTTAGGGGTATTGCACTGCCTGCTGACGTCAAACAATAGAACCGTCTCCAAGCAGTGCCCACTAGAGTGCACGTGGATCCCCTCCTAATCCTCTCCTCAGCGTTTCCACACATTCAGAGGATGAGGCTACATAAGGGGTGCTGCACTCTCTACTGCCTCAGTTCCTTCCAATGCTAACCCAGAGAGGCCATAATAGGACTTTGAGAAAGAGGGTAAGGTGGGTGGAAAGTCTGAATATGCAGAGTCATTTTGAAGAACAACTCCGGGTACAGTAACCAATCTTATTCAGTTCTTTGAGTGGCTCTGGGTAGTCCCACTTATGGCTAGTTTGACAAGCAGTGCTGAAAACCCAGGAGGTGGGAACAGAGTCCTAATTAAATAACGATTGAAGCACTGCTCTGCCAAATGTGGCATCCACTCGTGAAGCTTGATCCAGAGTGTAACATTTAGTGAATGTGTGCTCTCACTTCCAAGTAGCAGCTTTGCACGTTTTCCTAATAGGAACATGTTTACGGCAAGTGAAAGATGGTGCTACAGTACTAGTAGAATGACACCATACAACAGAACACATGGGAATTTCTCCTTTGTTTAAACCACCTGGAAATAATCTGAGCAGACTCGCCCGCTGACCCCTAGTTTTCTTAGCATGAGAAACAATCCACATGATCTCCTAAACTTTGAGTTCTATTTAAATAATATATAAAAACCCTTCTAGCAGCTAAAGCATGTAACACAGACTCTCCTTTTTAGTATGAGGTTTCGGGGGGGGGGGGGGGAAGAAACCCTAGTAAATTCAAGAAACAGACCTAGAAATACTTTTTAGTAGATTGTTTTCTAGAAGTCAGCAGTATATTCTGTACCAATAAGGAACATGAGTGTTTAAGACTAGTCAAAGTCCAATAGCCCAAGCAGTCAGATGAAGAAACTAATGATCTGGATAAAGAATGCTTCCTTGTTGCTGTGATAAGAGATTTGGATACAGAGGAAGATGCATGTAAAAACCATTTGATAGCTGAAGCAGGTCCATATACTGCTGCTGTTTCAGGCCAACTGGGGCAATCAATATAATTTTTGGTTTGTCCTGACTAATCTTTTTAATCACTTTCTGAATTAATGGAAAAGGGGAGGAAGCATACATACAGCTCCTTCCCCAGTGCACAAGGAAGGTGTCTGAGATGGACTGACTATCCCTGCTCGCTCTTGAAGAGAAGAGACGCTTTTTGTTGAACCTTACAGTAAACAGGTCTACATTGGGCCGACCCCAACTGGAGAGGTCTTGTGCTACTTGATCCTTCAGGGACCACTTGTGCACCTGAGAACAGTCCCTACTGAGACAATCTGCAAGCATGTTGCTCTCCCTTGCCAAATGCTGGGCCACTGGATAGATCTCATGAAGAATGCACCAGTTCCATAATCTGACTGTTTTGGCACATGCATGGAAAGAACGAGGACCCTAGTGTTTGTTCACATAATACATAATTGTATTGTCCATTGCTACCTGAACCTACCCTTTTGTGTGAGGAAGTAAAGAGCTGAGGGCCAAACGAATGGCTTTTAATTCCAATTTAATTTACATGCAAGCTCTTTTCTTGAAAAGTCCAGTGACCCCAGAGTGTAAACCAACTTAAATGGGCTCCCCCATCCACTATTGGCTGCACCTGACATTATTGTGAGCGATGGCGAGGGGGATTGAAGAGGATGTCTCTGAGAACATTGGATCTGTCCGTCCACTGCTATAGTGAATTTAGAACATCTTGTGGCATGGTGACAAATGTCTGAAGACTATCCTGAATGGGTGTTTAGACTTGAGACATCCAATGCTGCATCAGTCTCACTCTGAGACAAGCAAAGGAAGGACTTCTGTAAGTGAGAGCTGCCATCAAATCCATGAAACCCAGGAAGACGTTCACTTTATAGAATTGGCAGGTTCGAATTGGCAAAACCACTTGCTCAATTTTTAGAAACCTGTTCTCTGGAGGAAAAGCTTTCCATGCTACTGAGTCCAATTGAGAACCTATAAATTTTTTTTGAGTTGGACCAATATTATTTGTTGTTTTTTTGACATTGAGAAGCAGACCCAGATCCAAAAAGCGGGAGATTGTAAACATGATCTGTAGTAACAGATCCTTGGGTTCAGCAGCTTTTAGCAACCAATTGTCCAAATATGGGTACGCAAAAATACCGCGTTTTCTTATATGTGCTGTTACCACAGAAAGGCACTTTGAAAAGATTCTTGGTGCTGTGGACAGTGCAAATGGGAGTACTTGGTACTGGAAATGGCATCCCACCACTATTAAATACGGATATTTTCTACGACTGTGTCAGACAGAGATATGAAAATAAGTATCCTTTAAATAGAGAGTGGAGAACTAATCCATAACTGTAAGCATGGGAGTTATGGAGACCAGAGTTAATATATGTTCGGATGTTCCAGTTTTGTATCTGTTCAATTTTCTTAAATTTAAAACATCCTTTTTTTACGGTACCAGGAAGTATCTTAAATAGAACACCTGACCCCACAGAAGTTTTGGTACTTCCTTGACAGCTCCTATCTGGAGCAGCTTGTGTTATTCTGTATGTAGAATAACCTCATGGAGAAGGTTCCCTGAAAAGAGGAGGGGAATTGAACTGAATAGCGTAGCCTCTCTATTATTTCTAGTACCCGTAAGTCCAATGTAATCAGCCTCCATCTGTCAATGAATTGCCTGTCCCCAAATAAAAGGATGGATGAATTTTTCTTGATTGGTCCACAACTCTTGATCATCAGATCAGATCTGAGGCCTGGTGTTCAAGGACGATGAAGAAGGGGAAGCAGATCTGTTCAACTTAGATCTGGATCTGAAAGACCTCTTTTTATGCTGGGTCTGGAATGAAGATGGAGGTTGCTGTTGCTGATGTCTCTGATTTGAGGAAAAAATAAGCAGATGACTCAGGGTAATATTGCCTCTGATATCAAAAAGGAGTAGAAGATTTCTTTCTGATCCAGGGATAATGATAAAGAGAAGGAGCAATGGATCTAGTTTCCTTTAATTTTTCCATAAATGTATCAGTCTTATTGTTGAAAAGACTTTCCCTTCAATGGGGAGATCTTCCACCTTGATTCTAGTGTCAACAGCCAAAGTGTGTCCCCGCTGAAGAGAGCGTTCATAAGGCCAACACCTCAAACCATCTATGTTGTCTTATAGTTGTTGGCCTGTTGGAAGACTATGTTGGTAATAGTGAGATTGAACTTGGCTCACTGGGAAAGAAGTAGTTGGCTGTTGGAGTTTGACTGTCCAGTGTTGTGGTGGCCTAGCATCCTGCTCCATGTGTTAGAGTCGGCTCTCACACGATCACTGAAGTCTCCCAGGACAATAAGTTTTTCCTGGTATGGCACCTGTTTAATGGCCTTGCTGAGGTCTTCATAAAAAGCTTCCTTGACCTCATCTCTACGAGTCATTGTCAGCACATAGGCACTGATAACAGCGGCGTACTCTAGACAAGTTTATGAGGAGCAGTATAAGTCGGTCATGGATTCCCTTGGAGAGCGAGTCAAGCTTGTGGGCAATGTCAGACCATATGGTGAAACCTACTCCTGACTGTTTTGGCTTGTCCTTGTCATTCCAGTAGTATATGTAGCCTGCTCTCATGTCCTCAGGGTGGGATTCATCAGCAAGTCTGGTTTCAATAGGAGAATGATGTATTATATCTCGTCAGTGTTTTGGCAATAAAGGCTATTCTTTGTTCTGGTCTTTGGTCATTATCAAAAAGAGTTCTGACATTCCATGACCCAAATGTCAATCTGTGAATCTTTGTTTTATTTTTGTCTGCTAAGTTGGGTGACCAGCCAGGAGCAGTAGCCTGATAGATATGGAAAGGGTAGGTTGTGCTTAAGGTTCCTTTTCAGTCCCCTTTTCCCTGGATTGGGGAGAACAGCGCTGTGCCTAAAAAGGCCTGCTTCTGTCACCTCAGGAGGATATTAGCTCCAAGCTCTGTATCTGCCATTCTGCAGTGAACAATCTTCACCCTAAGGCCGCCTTGTATAGAGTTGTGACTAAGGACTGCCAGTGGCATCCTCTGCCTGTCCCAGTCGCCACTTCCCTATCGCCCCAGGACTCTGGTAAGTTGATTGGGTTGAATGAGTTGATGGCTGAACAATGTACTCTTTTTCCAATAACATGGAGCACTGACGGTCAATGGACTTGTAGCTGCATTTGGGCTTCTATGACAAATTTTCAATACATAAAGTGTCAACACAACTGTTATATGGCACAGATTTAATGACTCAAAATTTCTAATTTCCAATTCGATATGAAACTAAATTGAAATATATTAATAATAGAACTTGTGAAATTAGTTTGTTTTGTTTCTATACCGAAAGTTGCTTTTTTCTATTGATCGTTGAATATTATCAGTTCAACTGAAATAAAAAAATACATTTAGATATAGGAACAAGAAAGCACTGATTATACATAATAGCACTGAGAAATGTAAGTGAATTTCCAAGATTATTACATATCTGTTGTCAGTTGAAGATCACAAATGACAAGTCTATAAAAAAATGAGCTTTATATAGTCTGGTGATGTTAATGGTTTGGTATCAGCACACCTCATCACTGTCCTTTTTGTAAAAAGCAACATTGATTTTAGACAAGTTTATTCCATCTCACGTGAACCCGATATTTCATTATTTACATATTACAGATAATTAGAAATATGGACTCAAAACTGTAGCTAAATAAAAATAATTATATTAAATTATATAAATTGAACACCACATTGGGGATAGTTAAAAGTGTTAGCATGTAAATTCACAGCCCTATTTTGACCATATGATTAAGATCCAAGGGGGAAGAACTGAAACTCCATTGTATGATTACAATAAGATTGAAGTGCACCAACTTAAATGAACAGAAGGTTTTCAGGATTTTCTTTTTTAGATATATGAAACATCAGTTTTTGCAATAAATACACTAGTTAAATACTTCATTTACCTGCAGGATTTTGGTTGCTGTTTTTATTGGGTCATGATGCCTACATAGATTCCAATGCTATGGTAATTGCTATGGTCAACAATGGATCTCAAAGAAGGTAATGATGCCTCATGTCATAGGTTCAAAGAAACTGAGCTGATCCTGTTGGGGTTTTTTTTTGAGTGGAAGAGATGCCCTGGTCGATATTGCAATTAATGGATATAGTTATCTTCCCATTCTAATACTATTAGTTTCAGAAGGCGTTGCCTAGCTCTGCCAACCTGATATGAAGAATATTCCTTTATGCTTTCATTCTGCATTTCATCTGTTTTTAGCTTCTAAACTACCACACACCTGGAAGAGAAATGCTGGGAACTGAGATAAGGGGCCTGCATCCCGTGTATGTTGTGGATCCATGCTCTGCTGGAGTTTCTTTTGTACAGCCATAGAAGGAGGTTTTGGGGGTGGGCCTAGTGGATTTACACCAATTCATCAGTTAGGCCTAGAGTTGCCAGGTGTCTAGTTTTCGACTGGAACACCCGGTCGAAAAGACACCCTTGCAGCTCCAGTCAGCACCACTGACTGGGCTGTTAAAAGTCCTGTTGGTAGCACAGTCAGGCTCCCTACCCGATTCTGCGCGGCTCCCAGAAGCGGCTGGCATGTTCCTCCAGCTCCTAAGCATAGGAGTGGCCACGGATGTGCCGCACGCTGCCCCCTCCCCAAGCACCGGCTCCGCAGCTCACGTTGATTGGGAACCATGACCAAAGGGAGCTGCAGGGACGTGCTTGAGGGTGGGGACAGCGCATGCTGCGCAGAGCCCTTGGCCGCTCCTGTGTCTAGGAGCTGGATGGCCATGCCGGTCGCTTCCTGGGAGCCGCCTCAGGTAAGTGTCACCCAGAGCCTGAACCCCTCCCCACCTCCTGCACCCCCTGTCCCAGCTCTGAGCCCCCTGCCCAACCTTGAACTCCTCATTTCTGGCCCCACCCCCAAGCCCCCACTCCCAGTGCAGAGCCCGTACCACCTCCCACACCCCAACCCTCTGCTTCAGCCTGGAGCCCCCTCCCACACTCCAAATCCCTCGGCCCCACCCTCCCAGCCTGCAGCTCCGTCCTGCCCCCTAAACCCTTCATCCCTGGCCTCACCCTCGAGCCCTCTCCCCCTCCCCCTGCTGCAGCCTGCTGAAAATGAGAGACTGAGTGAGGGTGGGGGGAGAGCAAGCGGCGGAGCAACAGGGAAAAGAGTGGGGAGTGAGGTCTCAGAGAAGGGGCGGGGCAGGGCAAGGATGTTCAGTTTTCTGCTGTTAGAAAGTTGGCAACCCTAGTTAGGCCCCCGCACATGTGAGGGTTGCTGAATCCCTGAGGCTACAGTAGTGACAATGAAGCAGCCACACTGTGTCACTGGCTTGTTGTGGAGAATTCCTTCTCTCCACCCCACCTTGTAACCACATGCACAGCCCTGTTAATTCTGCTTCTGTTTGCGAGAGTGAACATTTTCCCTTAGAAAAGGATTAGCTGAATTAATGGTGGGTAGGGAATTACTTTGGAGGTGCCCTATAACCTGAACCTCTGCCTTTGGCTAGGCATACTACTAAGTTACCACCGATTTAGGTTTAAACAATAAGAAAAATATAACAAAGAACCCCTAAGTAATTGATGCTCCTTACAGTACAAAAATAAGCATCCACAGCACATTTATTTAATGCTTAAATTACTTCATATTTTCACATAACGTTAAAAGAAAATATATTTTCTCCCACATACAGTAACAGCAAACAAGTGCACTATTTCAAACATTAAAAATAATCTTCATCCAAATCTGTACAACAGATAAATAAAAATTATATCTACAATACTTAGTTTGTGAAGAAGAAAACCAAAAAAATTCCCCCCAAACTCACTTTTTCTTACTTCTAACAATGGTATAGATGTAGGTTGTACATCCTGTCCATAGCAACTATCTTTACAGTGCTCAGCTATACCATGTCTTTCAATAAATCAGATGTACTGATCAGTGGCTAAGGATGACTTCCCAAACATTGGAAATAATGTCCAAAAAGAAAACACAACTGAGAAAATGTTGAGTATCTTTCCACAAGCTTGTTAATAAAACTAGGTGACATGCCCAAGGTTGTTGAATTAATGCATTAAAAGTTTATTCTTGAAACCTGTATTATCTTTTATCTTTCTATCTTCCTCTCATTACTGGTGCCACCATTCTTACAGAAATTGTTTTCTTTACTGGAACAAAATTTTGCAGCTATTCTTTCACTGTCAGGAAAGTTTTCCAACAGAGACAGGTGGCTTTGCAAGTTCGGACTCCACAGTTCAACTGAGATAACATCAGAAAATACATAAATATCAGACCACTTACTGTATAAATTAAGATTCATATAGTTTTTCATTACATATAATTGTACATATGCTGAGAAAACAATTGTCGTATTCATTGAGTGCTAAACAGTAGCCACCAAAAGGAGGACAGAACGAAGATGCACATGAACCTCCAAGCATTATGTAAGCCAAAAAACGGTGAAGACTATTATTATGGTTCAGTGGAACAAAGGATCACCATAGTTCCACTGAATTTGCAGAATTTAAAATTACAACCTACCAGTTCTAATTTGAAGTGCTATTTCTTTCAGTTCTATGCTGTATGCAAAAGAAGGTTACATGATAAAGAAAAAAGTCATGCATGATCTGGGGGTTCTGACATTGTTGTGCCCCTGCTATGCCCTTCTCTGTAAGATCTGAATACAGTAGATGTATGACTGGAAAAGGGTGGGAATTTTCCCAGCTTTTCAATATTCAGCTGAAATATTGTTTATCTTGGTTTTTTCAGTGGGGCTGCATTAATATTGTGAACTACAGAGACTTTGAAAGAGCAATAATAGGAAAATGCTGATGAAAAAGCAAACATACCTGTAGAAAATTCAAAAGGAAATTACTTATGCATTCCTAACAAATCCCGCATTTCCTGAACTGAAGAATATTTCCTGAAAACTGTCTTCAGAAAAAAAAAAAAATACAAAACACCTATGAAGTACTATGTAAACCTGGCTAGAATGTTACATGGAATCACTTTAAATTGAGAGGGTTTCGTTCAATGCATAAAGGGTTTCATATACTACATATTAGCTACACCCAAAATATTGATCCCTAAACAGTGAGTTAACACTCAGTTTAGAAAAATGACCCTGATTACCAGTAAGATAACTTCATTTTGAAATTAGCAAAAAATGACCATTAGCTAAAGATTACACATCAGGTCTGCTTTGTTGTTACAAAAAGTTTCTTGAGGAGAACAATTAAAGCATGTCTCATGTATACTGAAGTATGCTAGTAAATATCCACGAGTTAGGTGTATCAAGGTAAAGTTAATTCAGTAATCTCCAAATTATGCTGCCAAGCCACCCATTTCTCTTCTTCATGTTATATTTAAACAGATATGTAAATACATACCCAGTAGAAAAAAAACACTTGTTTTTCACATGCAGTTCTATACAGTGCATTCTTGTTTCTCGGGTTCCTTTGAGAAGAATATTTCCACACAAAATATGTACATTTTCATTATATACACATTCAATAGACTTCATTTAGATGTCCTTCTGCTGCTGCTTAGCACTGTACAAGAATTTTGTATCGCCAGTTAAATATTTTTCTTCAGGCAGACACAAAGTAAGCCTGAAGTAAGTTTTAAGGACTTCTTGAAGTTAATGCCTTGATTGATCTTAAATTGCTGACAAAAAGAGGAGTCCAGAAAAAAACCCAACTATACATAGCAGCCTTCTAAGCAGAGTCGCATTATCTTTAGGAACAACCATCTGTGCTAGATCGTTCGTGATCTGAGAAATTTCATGTGCCACACACACAAATATAAAAGTGCTGACAATTATGTTGAGCGTTGGATTTCCAGGAATGAGCACCAAGATCCCCTTCGTATCTGCTGCCAGCCAGATGTGGTATTGGCAGATGAACAGCTAGAAGGAAAATAGATTCAGTTTACAATTTTAAATATAAATAAGAATATAATCATTACTACTACATTAGCTAACATAGGGCTTACTCCTGTTAAAGGGGTAAACAGTGAGGTGGCAAAGTTTGCAGATGATACAAAATTACTTAAGATAGTTAAGGCCAAAGCAGACCGCGAAGAGTTACAAAGCAAACTCACAAAATTGGGTGACTGGGCAAGACAATGTCAGATGAAATTCAGTGTTGATAAATGCAAAGTACTGCACACTGGAAAACATAATCCCAACTGAACATACAAAATGATGGAATCTAAATTAGCTGTTACCACTCAACAAAGAGATCTTGAGTCACTGTGGATAGTTCTCTGAAAACATCTGCTCAATGTGCAATGGCTGTAAAAAAGCTAACCAAACGTTAGGTACCATTAAGAAAGAGATAGAAAGTAAGATAGGCAGTATCACAATGCCACTATATAGATCCCTGGAACACCCACACCTTGAATACTACCTGCAGTTTTGGTTGGAAAAAGTACAGTGAAGGGCAACAAAAATGATTAAGGGTATGAAACAGCTTCTGTATGAGGAGAGATTAAGAAGACTGGGACTGTTCATCTTAGAAAAGAGATAACTACGGAGAGATATGATAGAGGGCTGTAAAATCATGAATGGTGTAGAGAAAGTGAATAAATAAGTGTTTTAACCCTTCACATAACACAAGAACCAGGGGTCATCCAATGAAATTAACTGGCACCAGATTTAAAACAAGTACTTCTTACAGTCAACCTGTAGAACTTGTTGCCAAATGCTGTGAAGGCCAACAGCATAATCGAGCTAAAAAAAAGGCTTACATAAGTTCATGGAGGACAGGTCGAGGGATAGCTATTAGCCAAGATGATCAGAGATGCAATCACATGCTTTGGATGTTCCTAAGCCTCTGACTGTCAAAAGCTGGGACTGGATGACAGGGGATGGATCACTCAATCATCCTGTTCTGTTCATTCCCTCTGAAGCATCTGGCACTGGCCACTCTCGGAAGACAGGATAGTGGGCTAGATGGACCATTGGTTTGACCCAGTAAGGCCATTCTTACATTCTTATGAGTATCAACTAAATATAAGGTGGGACAGATTATTAAGCATAAGGGGATAAAACATGATGAAAGAAACCACCCAAAATGAAGTGGCCAATTAACACCTCTGCAGTCATAGGACACAGGAGGGTTAGTAGGTTACAAATTGTTGGGAACTTAAATTCGTAACTCTGATAGACATTAAGGGCACGCCTTCACGGGCAACGTTAAAGTGCTGCCACGAGTCGCGGCATAGCACTGGGAGAGAGCTCTCCCAGGGCTCTAAAAAAACCCTACATCTATGCGGGGCGTTTCTACCACGGTCTATACTGCCACGTTACAGCGCTGAAACTTGCAGCGCTTAAGGGGGTGGTTTTTCACACCCCAAGCGAGAAAGTTGCGGCGCTGTAAAGTGCCAGTGTAGACAAGCCCTAAAATCATAGTCTCAGAGACACTGGTTTATGGCTCATTACAACAAGTTGTAACCAACAACCCTCCTTTGACCTATGACTGAAGAGGTATTGACTGCCCACTTCATTATAAGTGGTTTCTCGCAACATGTTAAATGCTTACACTTAACAATGTCTCCCTAGTATTTAGCTGTGATACTCTGGTTACCTTTTTTACTATTTTACTATGTTTTTACTATTTATTCAGTTACACTACAGTGTATATTATAAACCCACCAGTTATAGATTCCTAAAATGAAACACCCTATTATTGCATTTGTGATCACTCTACTTACCTCTAAAGAAATTCTGCCAAACCAGGCAAAAAATGAACTATATACAGAACGGGCATATCCAGGAATGTTCCTGATGAGGACGAAAGCTAAAATCTAAACAGAAAGAGATTCATGTGTGAAAAGTAATTGAAAATAGATTATGCATTATAACTCAGTAGGAAAATTAATTTAATAAAATATTTTTCCTATACATGTACATATTATAAACTTTAAAAATACATGCAGTATATACGTAATATAAGCACGTGCATAAATGTTTGCAGGATCAGGGCTACACCTTAATGGAGTAGAATCTCAGAGTTACAAACACCTCAGGAATGGAGGCTGTTCGTAACGCTGAACAAAACGTTTTGGTTGTTCTTTCAAAAGTTTACAACAGAACATTGAATTAATGCAGCTCTGAAACTTTACTATGCAGAAGAAAAATGCTACTGTCCCCCCCCCCCTTTTTTTTTGAGTAGTTTATATTTAACACAGGTCTGTACTATATTTGTTTTTTTGGTTTTTTTTGTTTTTTTTTGGGGGGGGGGGGTCCTCTGCCGCTCCCTGATTACATACTTCTGGTTCCAAATGAGGTGTGTGGTTGACTGGTCAGTTTGTAACTATGAAATTCTACTGTATATGAATTAGTATTCAGGTACTGTGTATGGCCATGAATGAGTATTTTAATTTTTATATATAAAGATATCTATATTTATTTTACACAAGGGTATATATGTAATGCATATATACATTTATACACACACACACACACACAAACAAAAACACACACATACACAGATATGCACTACATATATACCCTCGTGTAAAATATATATAGAGATATCTTTATATATAAAAATTAAAATACGCATTCATATAACTATGTATGTGAATGTACACACATACTGATATAGCTACACTCTTACATTTATACACAGAATAGAATGAAAATGTGCTGTCACAATAATGTGCTGTAAATGAAATGCTAAATTTTAAACTTTATATTACACAGGTCAAGGAAAAATAACCAGCAATGCAACAAACCCTTTTTTCACATTCATACATGAAAATGATGTTCATCAACTGATGTGAAGTGCTAAAAACATCAGAGACAGACTATATTATATTTTTTTAATAGAATCTAGAGGAAAAGGAGCATAATTACCTGTACCACAGAAACAGAAGGATGCAGTTCATTGCACTCAGTTTTGTTTTTACAGCTACTAGCCCAGATAGAGTAGGTCTACAAGATATAAATATACATATCAGTCTGTTTGATGACTGTGCTTAAGAGATTTTAAAATGTTACAACAGAATAAAACATTTTAAAATATGTTAAAACAGCAGCGGTGTGGTGTGAGGAGTCGATTCTTTACACTTTCTAGTTAGTTATGCATTTCTCAAACACGGTTTTGCAGCTGATGAATGCAATAATTATTTGTACTCTAAAATATAAAAAAGCCCAATGCTGACAATTGTATTAATCACACTTATACATTAGCTCATTTCTTGACTGTTTATACAGGTCATCTACCACACTATTCTTACTAAGATCATCCAAGATAATCAACTGGAGAAGCTGCAGTATTTAAATCTACAATAGAGTAAAAGGGAGGAAAAAAAAAAAGAGCCCAGTGAAGGTTTAGGATGGGTAGTAGCTATTTATACAAAATAGCGGAAATAAACTTCTGCAACCCAAGACCCTCTCTTATGAAATGTTCACTCATTGCTACACAGGAACTTCTCCAGAAAGCTGACCGTCCTCAGGATGACTGTTTTAAATTTACAAAATTTCAGTTCATATTGTGGACTTACCAAAAAGCAAACTACAGAAATAAATAGTAAAACATTTGAAATTTTGTTGGAGAAGAGATGGTCTCCTTTCCCTTCCGAAAGCACCTGACGTTTTTGTAATGCCAGATAAATAGAAGCAAACAGCATCCCGTGAAAGACTACCTGCAAGAGAAAACTGAGGTAACTACTCACTTGTGGCAGTTAACAAACACAGGTAAAACCACCAAGGTAACAGGGTTGTTAAGACATTTGATCTAGGATGTGACTCCAGACTCCTCCACTAACATCAGGTTATGGTTCAGAGCCCTGCTGCTGCCGCCCGTTTTAAATTTTTTGGTGTTCTGGCACTTTAGAACGTCCCCGGAATGCAATGTATGCTTCACAAACTGCAACACCGGTGAGATTTGGAGCTTTGTTAAGTACACTGCTCTCCCTGGGGCATGCAAAAAATGTAAGCAGTTATTAAAATTGGCAGCAGAGGAAGAAGGTATGCCATTGATTGGTCCCAGACCATGCACTCTGGAGCGGAAAGAAGAATCTGAAGACTGCTGCACCCAACCACAGCAGGCAAGACAATGCCTTTGGGAAGAGGTCAGAGGAAAAGTACGCTCGGGCCTCACATCCTCCCACTAACCAAACAAGATACAGGAGAGAACAGGCAGAAATTCTCTCTCTACCAGCACACCACACTGTGAAGGAAGAAGAATGCCCTCTCGCAAAGCTATTTTAAAACACAGTATTCAAAACATATTTATAAACAATAAGATAAAAATTGCATCTCTACATAAAAGGTGAAATAAATTCTATATCAAGACCTTCTGATTTTAGCAGCACAGAATATTCAAAAGGAACACTCCCATAGAAATGTCCTTCATTTATAAATTATGTTGTTTATATAATTAAAGTTTATTTGGAGGTTCCTTTGGGTTTTTAAAAAAAGATTTACTATTTATTGCTGCAGTAATGTAAAATTTCAATTTCCTGCAGAATTTAGCCTTGAAGTGCCACAGAATTCAGTTGTCTCCCAGCAAAATTTAAGTCTGGGACAAGACAGAATATGCAGAGCTCTGATTATGGACACTTTATAGGCTCAGCATATAAACAAGTCAGCTTCCATCTTTTCTGCATGGCTTTGACAAATACTTGAAGTAAAAGTGGATGCTCCCTGGCCCTACAACAAACCATTGCCTGGAACTTCAGATTTATTTTTTCCAGGGGAAGAGGGAGAAGTAGATTCTAAAAGTTAAAATATGTTCAGGAATACTTCTTAAAACACAAGACCACAATTAATTTATGAAAGGATTACATACATAGCGGTCTAACTTCCACCTAAACCACCACTCATAGACATTTCCATTCAGCTCAAAACATGTGGACAATGGCCAAAGAGAAAAAATCTTCTCAAATACACCCTGCAAAATACAAACATGGCAAGAATGTTAACATTGACTTCAACCCCATTTCATAAATTTAATTCATTTCATTATATTTTAATACCATCATACCAGTACTAAATCAGTTTAATTGGCCTCACCTAAAAATAAAGTCAACAGGACTTGTGCATACTCTGCCCCTTTCAAGATAAGGCCCAGAATACTTATATGTCAGTTAATGTTGGTTTAATAGTTCAATTTTCACATAAATTAATTTTAAAGAAGCTAGGACATTTGTCTACACTGCCTATGTCATGTTCTACCAGATAGAGGCCACAGCCTGAAACAAATTCCTTCCTTAAAAAAACAAAAACAAACAAACAAACAAAAAAATCCCTGAAATGAGTGCAGATAAATTTTTGAATGGCAAGAACACTACAGATGTAGAGTTACGCTGCAGCATGCTTCCCACTCCCTACATTTAATTTAAACACTACATATTCTCAGATATGGAAGAAGTAAAAATGTGTTGTTTCATATTATCTAATTGAATGAAACTATTTTAATTGAAGTGTTAGATATACACATCTGGTACTCACTAGACAATATCCCCAAGTTGCTGCCTGACTCCCTCTTCCTTAAACACAAATTAGAAACACTCACCTTGTTATTCTGTGTGCCTCTGACTGTATCATGATATACTGTACAGTATTTCCTAATCCTCCCTCCCTATCTGTAGTCAGTTCAGTTCTCAGCAGCCAGAAGGAATTAATTCATGGTCTCCTTCTCAGAGATCATTGTTCATACCCCTCCATGAATTAGCTTGCAGAAAGCGTTCCTCCAACTGTGGGGAAGAAGGTGGCCAGCCTACCATTCCTCCAGGAGATTAAAATCTTTACTAATGACCAGAAGTGGTTGAAAAGGAGCAGAATTACCTAAAAGTATTCCTGAATTTTATTTTTCTGATCAACTTAAAGGGTAGTTGAAGTTTTCTGAAAATTCCAAATTTCAACTAAAAATGTGTTAAACATTTTCCCCACATTTTTCAATCAGCTGTACCAGTGAATAATCTTGTTTCAATCATTCTGAGGAGCTGGAGTTTTAAGATTATTCCAATGTTATTGGGACCTATTTTAAATGTGTCAGAGTATGACATATTGTGTTAGATTGCAAGCTCTTTGGAGAAGAGATTGTAATTTTGTTCTCTGTTTCCACAGAACCTAGCTCAGTGGGATCCTGGTCCATGACTTAGGTGCTCTGTTGATACAAATAAATAATAATTTGAATATTTCTGCAGATAGATGTTATTCTCTATGACAGAAGTGCTCTGAAAGGCATCTGACATTTCCCTCTAATTTCCCATTGATAAAAGCATCTACCATCTTTCCTCTCACCACTCCATTTTGGACTCCATTTGTGGGCTTAAACGGAGATAATCAGCTATGTGTTGGGAGATGTAAATGAAAGCTTTACAGAAAAGTTGAGTACTTCAGGGTTTAATACTAATGGGAGTCGGTGGGTTTTTGTTTACTTAGTAAGGAGCAAATTCTGCCCTTCATTCCGTACCCTGTACATGATACACTATGTGATAAGTCATGCATTTGGCATGAAATTCACACGGATACAGAAGATCTACATAAAGCCTATGTATTACTTACGTGCCACTTAAATCTTCAACAATAGATCTTAAGTGGTACATAAATCTTGTCCTGGAAATCCGCACAGGCATGAATTTAAATCCATGAGAAACGGACATCCTCCAAAGAGTGCAAACCTTCCTGTTTCCAAAGTTTCCAATAGACAAATGGCAACCAAAATTAGGCCTTCCATGTAGGGTCATGGGGGCTGGGGAAAAACCCTAACAGAAGTTATATACATTGGTGTTAATTTTCCAATGACTTCTGTGCCACATTTGCTTGGTTTCTATGTCAAAGTGAGATCTGTCTTTTTAAATTTAGATTTTTATCTATTTTCAATTGTAGGAAATGTAGTGAAGAAAAAGGAAATCTTTCTAAACCTTTCTACTACATCTCAATCTGGCATCTGAAAGTCAAACTGTTCTTTGATTTATACATCGCTCATCACTGACAAAATTTCTGGCATCAGGATTTAGCTGACAATTTTGTTGAGTTGCATGAGAAAACAGAATGCAGCTTGCTCTTCTGCAACTATACTGGCCGTAAGAGCTAACAGCACAACCTTCCCCCCATCCCCAATAAATTAGCCAGACAGGCCCTGAAAGATAAATATAAAGCTGATCTCTCCATTTACATAACATTTTAGGAAAAAACAATTAATTTTAAAAGTGTTGTGAGAAACAAACAAAAATGTAGGATACTGAAAATTCCAGCCACACATAAAATCAGATATGAAAAGGAGGTATTTAAATATTCAATTTTTCTCCCTGTACTCTCCTATATAGTAACAGAAAACTGGTCATAATGTTCAATTCTGAGTGGCTTTCCAAATTGAATACACAGGCTACTATTAATTCTAAGGATACAAATAAGTATAATTTACAAACCTGAGAATTTGCTAGAAAATATATACACATAAGTAAGGAAATTAGTTTCAGCAGTAAGCCAAAGTGCCAGAAGCAGTTCCCTGTGGGAGAATTGAAAAAATCAATGAGTATCTGGCTGTTATTTTTCAAAACAAAAAATAATGATACATTTAATAAGAAGTCAGTAGCTGTGACACACAGATATCCTTTATAATTTAATATGTATATTGTCCAGGTATTAGCCAGTCACAATTTGCCATTATCCAAACATTTTAATTTGGTGATTTTGCTTTCTTTCATATAAAGTAAAATCCACACTTCAAACATTCACAATAATAAATTCACACCATTTAACCCTACAAAAGCAAACACTGCTTTAAAGACTCAGTTTTGACAGACACTCAGCCTGGGAATTTTTAATTTTAGTTACACGTGAAAAATCTAAGAGCAGTTACATAAAATGAGTGTATATTTAAACTGTGAGTCAGGAGTGAGGTACTATGAGGCACATCTAATTTTGCTCCTCATAAGCTGAACTGGTCAGTTGAGGAGCTGTATCTTGCCAAGGCTAGCCAAAAGGAACAGCTTCCCCAAGCTGCTGGTTGACACTGTTTTGATCCCACAACTCAGCTGTACAGTGGAGAATGGCTCTCACTCCTGCTTCAAAGATTGGAAGTGGGCAACAGGCACAGAGCTGAAGGAAAGTGGTCATTGAAAGGAGCTTTCAGGAAGTAGTGCTGCGAGGTCCACAGTGGGACTTCTGTTGCACAGTGCACATGAGGAACGAGGAGCTGTTTGTAAGAGAAATATCAGAGTGCTACATATAACCTTGTGAGCTGGTTGTCAGTGCTTTAAAATTAACATTAAACATTCTGGACATCGTGTCAAAGTACAGGCCAATTACCAGTTCTGTAGTATGTATTCCAAATATATGTTTAAAGTGCTCCACTATCAAAAATGCAATCTACACAATTGGAATATTACACCATTAATACATGAGGGAAGAAGTTACTCACCTTGTGCAGTAACGATGGTTCTTTGAGATGTGTCCCCCTATGGGTGCTCCACTGTAGGTATATGTGCATCCCTGCGCTTCTGATCAGAGATCTTTGATAGCAGTGTCCATTTGGCCTGCACATGCTCTCTTTCCTCCTTGTGCTCTGCTTCGAGGCTAATTAGTGCTGCGCAGGCCAACCATGCTCAGTTCCTTCTCTACCACGGAGTCCCTATCAAGAGCTCCGAACTAGAGGAGAGGAGGGTGGGTTCCGGAGCACCCAAAGTGAGACACATCGTGAAGAACCATTGTTACTGCACAAGGTGAGTAACTACTTCTTCTTCAAGTAGTGTCCCTATGGGTGCTCCACTGTAGGTGACCCCCGAGCAGTATCCCTAATGGAAGGTTGGGGCTTCGAAGTTGAGTCTGTTATGGATAATACTGCTGAGCTGAAGCTAGCATCAGAAGCAGAGTCCCCAATAATCATACAGTATTCTGCGAAGGTATGTACAGACGCCCAGGTGGCTGGCTCTGCAGATTTCTGAGATAGGGACATTCTTGAAGAAAGCGACAGAGGAAGAAACGGACCTCACGTTGTGTGTGTGAATTCCAGGTGGAGACATTATGTTGCGAACATGATAACAGAGCTTAATATAGTTTGAGACTCACTTAGAGAGCCTCTGGGGTGATATTTCTATGCCTTTAGACCTTTCCTCAATGGAAAGGAAGAGCTTGGGAGATTTCTTAAAAGTCTTTGTCCTGTCCAGGTTGAAGACCAGAACTCTCCTAACATCTAGCATGTGCACTATGGCCTCTCTGTTATAACAGTGAGGCTTAGGATAAGAGGTTGGGAGATGAACTGGTTGGTTCATGTGAAAAAAATGGGGACAATTTAGGAATAAACTTTGAGTGTGGTCTGAGAATAACCTTGTTGTGAAAGAATTCTGTAAAGGGGGGGTGTGTCGTAAGTGCAGCTATTTCCCCTATTCTCCTAGCTGACATGATGGCCATGAGAAATGCGGTCTTCATTGGGGTAAGTGAACAAGGGTGGTTTAATCTTTAAAACTAGATTTAGGTCCCATGCTGGAGTGGGACATCTGGGCTGGGGAAAGAGGTTCGTTATGCCATTGAGGAATCTCTTTGTGATTGGGTTTGAGAAAACTCTTGTGGATGGAAAATCACTATGGCTGCCACGTGTACCTTGAGCAAACTGAGGGATAGCCTTGTTTTTTTAAGAGTCAGTATGTAATCTAACACCACAGGGAGAGTAGCATGTCAGGATAATTTGCCTGGAATCACAGCAAACCTGAAACCTGGACCACTTCTGCAGGTAAGTATGACGGGTAGCCGATTACCGACTGTAGTAACACTTTCTGTACCTCCTCAGAGCAGGTGCGCTCTATGCGTTGGAACCAAGAAAGAGCCAAGCCTTGAGCCGGAGTATCCACAGGTTGGGATGGAGAGTGTCTCCTTTGTTCTGTGAGAGGAAGTAAGTAGTGGGTTGAAGAGAGATGGGTGGACACATCACCAGCTGTGACAGGTACGAATACCATGTCTGTCCCGGCCAGATGGGAGCAATCAGTAGAACTTTTGGTTTTTCTCTTTTTATTTTCAACAGGTCCTTCAACAACAGAGGGAACAGGGGAAAGGCAAAAAGAAGGCTGTCATCCCATGGAAGAAGGAAAACGTCCCCTGAGTGCTGTCCGAGGCCGGTCCTAGAGCAGCAGTGTGTGCATTTCCTGTTCAGATAAGTAGCGAACAAGTGTATTGATGGTGTCCCCCATTGATTGAATATGCTGTGAAGTACTGCTGGGTTCAGTTCCCACTCGTGGTTGCATGAGAACATGCAATTGAGACTGTCTGCTGTTGTGTTCTGCACTCCCAGTAGGTAGGCTGTTGATATTAGAACATAGTGGCAAATGTTCCACAGCTTTAGTGCTTCTGTGCAGAGAGAGGATGATCTGGCATCTCCCTGATGATTTATGTAGTACACGCATGCTATGTTATTGGTCATGACCTTTCCGTGTGTACTTCTGATCAGTGGGAGAAAGTGAGTGCAAGCATTCCTGACCGCCCTGAGTTTGAAGAGGTTGATGTGGAGAGTCATTTCTACGGGCGACCATTTGCCCTGAGTTGTGAGGTTGTTGAGGTGTGCACCTCAACCCCTGAAGGAAGTGTCCATAGTGAGAATTGATGTCAGAGGAGGGGAGGAGGCTGAGTGAACAGGACCTCTGTACAAACATTTCCTGCAGCTTTCCACCAATCCAGAAAGTGTTTGACCCTGGAAGGCATTGAGAGAGGTTTGTCTAACCTGTCTCTGTGTGGCCTGTAAACCGAGCTGCACCATGTCTGCAGACACCTCATGTGCAGTCTGGCATGAGATATTACGAACTTACCGGCGACTATGTGCCCCAGAAGCAGGAAGCAATGTCTGGCAGAAGTCTGAAGGCTGGCTTGAACTGTCTCTCTAAGCATGGACAGTCTGTGAAATCTGTGTTGTAGAAAGAGCACTCTCACTTGCAGCGAGTCAAGGTCGGCTCCCATAAACTCCAGGCGTTGTTCCGGAATTACGGTCAATGTTTGGATGTGGATTTGCAGGCCCAGGTTTGTGAATACATCCGTAGTTCTGTGGGTGGCACATAGAACTTCTTTTAAGAAGTGGGCCCTCAGGAGGCAGTCATCCAAGTATGGGTAGATCATGATCTCCTGGGTATGTAGGTGAGCCACCACTACAGAAAGGATCTTGGACAATACTCTGGAAACCAACAAGAGGCCAAAAAGGAGTACTCTGTACTAGTCCTGACTCAGAGTAAATCTGAGATACTGACCCTACCATCTCACAGATGATTCATGGAAATACGCGTCTTGGTGGTCCTGGGCTGAGAACCAATCTCCCTGTTCCAGAGATGGAATAATCGCTGTTAGCGTGACCATCTTGGATTTTTGGGCCTTGAAGTATTTGTTCAATGCCTTGAGGTCCAGTATGGGTCTCCAACCTCCCTTTTTCTTGGGGACCAGGAAATAGAGTGTAAAACCCTTTGGCATGGAGATGTAGAGGGACAGGTTCTATGGCTCCTGGTTGGAGGAGGTGATCTATCTCCTGTTGCAACAATCTCTCATGAGAAGGATCCCTGAAGAGGGATGGGAAAGGGGATGGAGATGGAGTGGATCGAATACCCATTGGAAATAGCCTCCAAAATCCATCTGTCGGATGTCATGTGTTTCCAGTTGTGGCGGAACAAAACAAGGCAACGTCCAAAGGCATGCAATGGGTTGGGAAGTGGCAGCTGATGTTGAAGGGAGTGGCCTCGAACAGGATGTCAGAACTGATGTTTTGAAGTGACAGACTCCGATGTTGAAGACTGAGGCCTGACTGTTTGTGTCTCTAGAATCTGGATTTCTTTCTCTGTGGGTTTTAGTAGTGTTGTGATGGGAACTGTGGTGCACGCAATTTGCGAGAAGACTGAGGACTAAATTTTCTCTTTTGTCTGGTTTTATAGATCTCCAGTGACTGAAGTTTGGCTCTGGAATCCCTAAGTGTCTGGAATGATGCACTGTTCTCCTCAGCAAACAACTCAGAGCCATGGAAGGAGCGATCTTAAATAGTTGTTTGCACCTCCTTTGGGAAACCTGAAAGCTGCAACCGCGAAGCTCTTTGCATAACAACTGCTTCTGAGATGGACTGGGTCACTGTATCAGCTGTGTCAAGCACTGCCTGGAGTGCTGTTTTGACCACCAACTGCCCTTCATTGATAATGGCTCAAAATTGTTCCCATTATGATTCATTATGAGATGGTCAATAAAGATGTTAAGTTTGGTATAGTTCATGTAATCATATTTTGCTGTTAAGGCCTGGTAGTTTGCAATACTAAATTGTAGAGTAGCAGAAGAGTAGGCCTTTCATCCAGATGAGTCGAGGTGCTTCCAATCCCTATCATAAGGGGTGGAGGACTTTGAATGGTGTTGCCAGCCGCAGGAGTTCACTGCATCTGTCACAATGGAATTAGGCGGAGAGTGGGGAAAAAGTAAATTCTGTATTCCTGGTGTTGCCCTGAATTTAAGGGGTGTGTATACCCCAGAATGTAATCAGGTTAACTGCAGCCATATTATGTGCATTCAGCCCCCCTGAATTAATGAAATAAAACACCACATAGTTATGGGTTAATTTGAAGACAGGGTTTTAGAAGCAAGGTCATATCTAGCTGGCAGTTTCTGCTAATCAGAATAAAAAAGGGGAACAGACAAGTAAACAACTAAAACTAAAAATCTTAATTAAAAAAAAAAAATTTAAACACCTCTATTATTAAAAATGTATTAAGAATTAAAAAAAAACAGTAAAAATCATTATAACCTATGTTTTATAAAAATTAGTTATAAAAAATTACTTAATAAAATGTATTTTAAAACAATCCTCTAAAGCAGTGGTTCCCAAATTTGTTCTGCCGCTTGTGCAGGGAAAGCCCCTGCCGGGCCAGGCTGGTTTGTTTACCTGCAATTGCGGCTCCCAGTGGCGGCGGTTTGCTGATCCAGGCCAATGGGAGCTGCTGGAAGCAGCAGCCAGTAAGTCCCTCGGCCCATGCCGCTTCCAGCAGCTCCCATTGACCTGGAGCAGCAAACCGCGGCCACTGGGAGCCGCAATCGGCCGAACCTGGGGATGCAGCAGGTAAACAAACCGGCCCGGTAGGGCTTTCCCTGCACAAGCGGCGGAACAAGTTTGGGAACCACTGCTCTAAAGCCATCTTAAAAAACATTTTTCCTGACTCCCTTTCTCCCTGATGGGTAAACAACTGTCCACAGAAAACCTGCTGTTATTTACTTAATACTATTCCAAATATTAAATATCTAAAATGTTCTAAATCTATTGCTTATGTTTATATGTGCTTAAATCTACTAAACTGCCGTTTTAAAGAAAGCACGTTGCATAAATCTTATCAAACAAAATTGCTGTGTTCCTATTAATTTATTCCTAACACTGCCTAAAATAAAATAATTAAGTTGCCCCTGTCAAAAGCTCTGAAGACACCAGATAACACTGGGAGGTACATAATATTTTTTTATTGGCCCATTTGCACGTTGGTGTGGCCGATACTGGCGTCTGCATATAAGCTTAGCTGGGTCCAACAGCATCTCGTTGATGGGGAGCTTTATCCTGGAGAAGGACGACGACGAGAAGGTATGTAAAATATCCAGCAAACTATGGTGAGTGTTTTTTACCTCCTTGAGAAATATCTGTAAGGTATCTGCCATCCTCTTAGGCCTTGTCTACATCTACACTACACAGTTTTATTGACAAAAGTGAGGTTACAAAAAACACAAACTAGCTAAGAAAGAATGTCTAAAGAGTAAAGTATCCGTGAATGGACTCCTAATTGCTCTGACTCTAGCCAGGGATGGTTGAGAAGGAACTGAGGGTCATTCGCCCACGCAGAGCTAATTAGCCTCAAGGCAAAGCATGAGGAGGAGAGAGCGCATGTACATGCTGAACGAACACTGCTACCGAAGATCTCTGATCAGAAGTGTAGGGATGCACCTACACCTACAGTGAAGCAACACTACTCGAAGAAGAAGGGGTGGAGAATCTAAGTTGTGATCGTACATAGAGTCTTTACTCTCCAGGTCACTGGGTTCTAATCTAGGTGAGGTAAATGATCTACAAAAACAGTTACCACATGACAGCTCTTCACTGAGCTATAGTATATGAAACAAGCTGGTGGTATCACTTCAAGTTTCTAAAGAACAAGCATCCACATTACAAGAAATAATGCATTTAACAACACTTGACAATCTCAGAAAAGGGATCATACACTGTAGCAGCCAGGAGACCCCTACTGGGTAAGAGATAACAAAATTCATCCCTCATGAAGAGGGTTGAGGTACATTGGCAGCACAGACTAGGGGAAGTTCGCAATACTGTTGCTCATGCTGTCCGTTTTCTGTGGACAAAGTATTTTTCTAGAGGACTAACTTTAGTTTGTAAGGTAGAAAATACACTATGCCATTCCCTCTCAAAGTTCCACAATGAAGAATGGTTGGGAATATATAGTTCTGAATTTCATTCCACTTTTTAAAAAGTGAGCTTTTGTAAATAAAAGGAAAAACCATAGACAACATAAAACTCTGATTTCAGATTCTGAATACAGGTATAGCAATCTAGGAGCAAGTTCATATGGGGTTTTTAGCTTGCATTCAGCAACTGTTTGTTTCTTTCAGTGTTCGCCAAACATAATTTTCAAAACCTCAGAAATATAATTCAGATTCCAACCAATTTAAGCAAGGATACAGTTCAAACACTTGATGTGTTTTGTTGAGAACTACAGCAAGTGAAAACACTCTCTCCAAGTTTAGTGGACAGTGGTTTAACATATTTATAGAATTTACTTCTACATTATTCACATATCCAAATAAAGACAAACATACTAGCTATGAAGTTTTGTATAGGATTGTAATTGTGTAGATTATCATGTAAACACCTTTAAAGGAAAAGGAAAGAAACAAAATTTATTTTACCGTTTGCTTTCTTCTGGACTATCTGAGGCCATACAGCTAATGTAGCATAGATGATCATAAACCAGACAGTGACTAGTGGAACAAAGTAGTAAAATTGGTAAGGTCGATCCATCACTATACATAACACCACAACCAGGAAATTGAGACGAAATAAAACCTGTGGGTGGTTGGGATGAGAAGGAAGAGAGAAGTGTTTTTTTCATTTAGGATTACCATCAAACTGGGGTTTTCTTTAACATTATACAAATTATATAAATATTATTCATATCAATTTAAACACCTACAATATTACCTTTCTTGAAATTTGAATGGCTGTCTCAATAAGCAGTTCAAACTTTAGCAAAGAAATAGAGCTGAATGATTGTAGTTTGTTGTTTGAACCAAGATACCACTTGATGCCAACAGGGTGAGCCAGTCACATATTTTAAAAATGTATAGTGTGCTCCCTCACATTAACTGGGCAAAACACGCTACAACACGTTTTCTCCAGTTGTCCTTATATTGGAACAATTGTTATGAACAACAGTGGACTTTGAGATATTCTCTTTTCAAAATGAAACGGTAATTAATAAATCTGGTAGAAGACCTGGCAGAGGTGATAGCTAGGGGCTTGAGACCGGAATGGACATTCCTGGACCAGACCATGAAGTGGAGAGGGTTAAAGGTGCAGTACCCTGAAGCTGTGACAGGGCCGAATAAGCACTCATTTGAGTGAAGCAGCCATTCCACCATCCTTTAGGGGAGCATTAATGATCTCAACTAAAACACCCAATACCTTTCTTTTTTATTTTACTAATGACGAGGGAGGTCATAAGTCCAAAATGCATACAACAGCTTAAAGCTTCCAGAACTTAATTGAATGAAAAGAGCTGTAGTTCAAATCAGAGATGACAGTAGTTTGTCCCATCCAAAGCAAGACCTGCAGTCTTGGAAGCAGGCAATCCAATGTGCTGGAGTGCTGAATTCAATTGCTCTTATGCACAGAGAAAGAAAAACTCCTTAAAACATAAAGGCCCAGTGGTGCCAATTGGCAAAGGCTTCACACTGTTCTTTACAAACAACAACTGTCTCAGACCCCACAAACTCACTACACCTAATACCCCACCTTCATGGTAATTAACGTAACATGCGAGACCTCTACAACAAGTTTGTAATGTACCAATACTCATTAATGAGACGTACTAATTAATGTACTCAATACTCATTGTGAGATCTGTGTACAGGTGTGTGTCACCTGGTACCCCAAAGCAACACCTTGGCACCCCCACATTTACCATGCTGATATAATTATATGTTTTATACAAAGTATGCCTTGTGATATATCATTTTAAAAGTTTCAGAGTAACAGCCGTGTTAGTCTGTATTCGCAAAAAGAAAAGGAGTACTTGTGGCACCTTAGAGACTAACCAATTTATTTGAGCATAAGCTTTCGTGAGCTACAGCTCACTTCATGCATCCGATGAAGTGAGCTGTAGCTCACGAAAGCTTATGCTCAAATAAATTGGTTAGTCTCTAAGGTGCCACAAGTACTCCTTTTCATTTTAAAAGTATTGATCTGTTGAACATTAATATCCTGTTAGATTGTATGTGCTATAATTGTATGGGAAGTTATGAAGTTTTATTATGTATGTTACTGTAATATGTTGTAAGGTTGGGAACACTCATAACCAGCCCTTCAGGTACAACAATGGAGCAGCCAGACACTGATAATGGCCCATTAAGGGGAATACACATTCACAAGGACTACCCTGGGAATTGTATAAAATGGAGACCTCTCAGAGAGAGCATGTAAACAATGGAGACTGTTTGACTCACATCATAGCAAAAGATCTTTTCAGCAAGCTGGAGGAACCAATAAAGGAGGGGAAGTGACATCATCATTTAGCCTCTCTCCCTCCCCCCCCCGCCCCAACTCAATACCTGGAAACACATCTGGAGAACAAAGTCTGATCTGGGGAGGTGGTCCCCGGCTGGAAAGGAGGGTCCCAGCTTGTGTATTAAGGAACTATACCATCAGGGTAAGACGCTGTTTGATTTAAATCCTGTCTAGTTTATGGAACTCAGATTATGATTTAATGTTTTATTTCTTAGGTAACCAACTTTTATCTATATTGCTTACTACTTACAATCACTTAAAATCTACTTTTCTGCTTTATATTTTACCTAAAACAGTGGGTTTTGCTTGAAATGCATGGGAAATCTGCTCAGGAACAAAAATTGGTATATGTCCTCTCCACATTGAGGGAGGGGTGGACTGGGTAATAAACTTACACTGGTCAGGCTTCTGACCAGGGCAAGATGGTACAGCTCTGGGGTCCTGGTCTGGGGAGCTGTGGGGAATTCGCTGGAGCCTTTCTATTGTTGATTCATGAGTGGCTGGCAAAAGCATTCATGCAACTCGGCAGGGTGTGTCCCTGACTGTGGATGTCTGTGTAAGTGCAGTACCTGGAAGGGCTTGCAGCTTGTCATAGCATCACAGTGTGACAGGTAGCCCAGGTTGGTGAGACAGAGGCTAAGGGCTCAGTGGTACCCCGTTTCCAAGCTGCACCGCAGGAAACCCATCACAGGGTGATATTTAAGTAATAATATAAACACATAAAAATTATTCCCTTCTGGTTTTGGAGTGAAAATGAGTCACCAGGAAATATGTCTGGGTGATCACCCGCCCTGGCTAGCTGATTATGGCTAGATGATTACTCAGCTGTGTACCTTTGCACCAACATTGACAAGTCAACGGAAAACCACACAAGACTCACTATAAACATTGAAACCACTTGGAAGTGAAAAGGAACAATATGACAGTGAGGGAATTGCCCTGTCTGTGAATACAGACAAAAAACTTATTTGGTATATCTCAGCGTGGATCCATTCACTGAGGAGGTACCTTGTTAAGTGAGGGAGCTTCATAAAGACTGGGTCCTAGCTCCTTGTTTAAGTGCTGCAAAAGACTGAACTTTAGTAGTTATCTTTCCTATCTAATAATGAGTGTAGGCCCTAGTTCACATTTTACAATTTTATTTTATATGCAACCATTCTATTAGAATGTTATTCTTAAATAAATCTCATTTTTGTTTACTATAATCAAACTCAAGTGCTATGCGTGACACAGGAGTGTTGGTCTAAGGTAAAACTGTTAAACTGGGGTACACTCTTCCTTTGGGAACAGAGGATCTGGGATTTCTGTGGGTATCTAGTGATCAGGGACTGGTTAACATAGGGGGACAATCTGAAGGGATCCATGGACTGGGGTACATCTACTGTCAGCCTGCAGGGCAAATGCAGGACTGGTATAGCTCACAGGAGAGTACTTGAGCAGCTGACAGGCTGTTTGTGTGAGGGAGTTAACACTCAGCTTGCACAGGCAAGAATTCCTCCCACTGGAGGCAGGTGGCAACATGGTGGCTCACAGCCCCGGTTGCTCTAAAAAGCATCACACTCTTCATAGTGAGAAAAATTTGATTTTGTTTCCAGGCAGTACATCCTGGATTCACCAAACATTTATCTATTTGTATAAGAGCCAACAGAAAAATGCTCTAGTAGTATGTAAATAGAATCTCCACATTAAACAGACAAGATGGGGGGATGGGTTGGGGAAAGAAAGATTCAAAATGGATAATTTAGATAAAGTTTGTTTCAGTCTTGCCTTTTCATAATATTACATTGGTTTATGTTCACCACTAGTTATTGTGCCCAATTTCTGATGAAAACATTAAGAATGATTATTTTTCACCTCAGCCACATTCTAATGAGTTACCAGCCTTCCCTCTAAAAATTTTCATTATGTTTGTATTAGATAGACTAGATTGATCAGGCTACATTAAATAGACCAGATTAGAGAGAGACAGAGACAATGATCAGTTTGTTATGAATATCAACCAAAATAATTTTAACCTCAGATAATTTAGTGAGTAGAGAGAGATCTGAACTTGGAAATATTTTTATATACATCAGTGAAAGATTTATTCTTACCTGACACACTCTATACAATCCAAAGTCTCCTTTGAGCCAAAAGTATGAAAAATGCCCATAACCTGTTTGGAACAGATATGCAGCAACCAGAACCCGAACGTGCATATACACAGGCAAAAACTGTTGAGAAAAATAATTTATCTTTTACAGAGGGCCACAGAAGCTCTCTCTCTTTTTTTAAACATTATTAATTGCAAATAAGTTTGGAGACAAGAGGACAAAGTTCTGTATTTTAGGCTTGTTGTGTTTCTGTTTCATAAAACTTTGTGTCATTGTAAACCAACTATAACAAAAGAAAGAAATTTTATGACCTACTTACTGCTACTACTTAAAGTGATTCTCTTTTGACCTAGCTTCTCTCAAATTGTAAAATCTGAATAAATTTCTTACAACTGTAACAACAGCTCTACTTTCTTGTGTGTCTATAACGGGATTAAAAGGGAAAAAAAAATTGTTATTGAGAGTTTGCCCTTTAACAGTTTCAACTCCCAAAACACAAAAAAGCTGTCTCCAGTAACTTTTTGTAATTAAGTTAATACAGTCTTCTACAATGAGAAAATAATTCCCCTTCACTGGATATACCAGGAAACAACACAAAACAGTATAGCCCCATTGATATCTTAACTTATTGAAGAAAATGATATAAATGAGGCCTCACAACAATTATGTCTTTGAAATTAAAGATTAAACAAGGAGCATAATGTGAACTGTTTATGACACTCAAGTCTAATAAATGCTTGGATATTTTAACTTCTGTATCTTGGCGGTAAATGGCAGAAGCTTATTTTTCCTTTAAGCATTGAATCCAAATCACATTACTTAAAAAAAAATAATAATTCAATTCAAATCACTTACAGTGCTTGCTCCAGAGATATGATAAATCAAAATAACAAGCTGCATCCAGCCTTTCCATTCATCTGTCTGCTCTCTATTTAACATCTTAGTCTATGCAAAACAAAACAAGAATGTTGCTATTCCCACAAGTACAACGAACATCTACAAAATGAGGAGAAAAAGTTCAAAACAATAAACCACTTTATGGGCAGTTGGATCTAAGAAGAAAAACTTCTACACTAATGACATTTATAAAGTTCACTGTGTATTAGATGTTGCTCCACAAATCAATGCTCATCTACTAGTTTGAACTAGGATTTGACTCTGATGCATTATGGCCAGTTGATGGATGAACGCTACCAATAGCTGCACCCACAAAAATGCTTTAGCCAATGCACTTGCAAAAATGTCCTTTTGCACCTAATTACCAGTTTGTGTAAAATTACTGAATTACCACATGCAACTATATATTTTGTGAGTGCATCAGCGATATCTTTTTGAAAATTTGACCTGTAATGTTTTAGTAAATAAAAATGAATTCACTTACAATCCTGAACTGGGAAATGACACCAGCATGATCTTTACCTCTTTGGTGTTTTCGGTATAAAATACCCCCAAAACCAGGATGTAGATGATTGGTATGAAGAAAGATGAATGTGTATAAAATTTGTTTTCCTTCATGAATAGATTTGCTCTGTCACACAGATAGAAATAGGCCATGATTAGACCCAGCTTGCAGAAGGAGTGTAACAGCGTCTCGAGTGTAGAAACAGGAGACGTATTGGTGACAGGTTTTTTCTCCTCTCCACTTTCCATATCGGTGCATGGCTTGTTTTTTCGATGATTATTACGATAAATAAAACTGAGAATTAAATATCCAATAATGGACAAAGCAAAAAAGCAAAAAGCTAGCTTCTGTATCAGTGTGAGGGGAGGTTGAGGCTGGCAGCAGGAACCATCAATGGGCTTCAAAATCTTATTGCAGTAGACGTTCATAAGAATCATTGCACTCTGTCAAAGAAACAAGTAACTAGCTATCAAACAGTCTCAGCATAAGTTTTCTTCAAATAGCTTTACTAATATTTCGCAGTAGTAAAGATTTCCCCTATCATTTTATATTTAAGCACTTCATATATGAGCACACAGGTAGTTACACACAAATTCCAGGATTAAAATAACCCATATCAAAAGAGCTAAGTCAATATTTTTAAGAGTCCTGATGTAAACAAACAGCTTTAATTTTTATTATTGATTTTGGAAAATCAACAAGAACCAAAATCACGAGCTGGAGCACAACCCAAATAAGTAGACCTGAGAAGGTCTGCTGTGGAGGGTGTGGAAATGTAACACTTCTACCCCAAACTGTGGAATGGCAGCAAAACTGCTTTGCAAACATTACTGCAGACTCAGTGTTGCAGTAACCCATGCAGCTTGCCAGCTGACCTGCACAGACATGGATCCAATAACCCACCTTCTGCCTATCTATTACCCTGCCCCCAAACCACAAACTTCCTCCATGTTGTGCTGCAGGGAGCCTCTACAGAGATTTATATAGGATGATGATCCCCTGAAAGGGTTCTCCACATCCCCCCAGCCTCTGCCATAACAGAATTACTACTAATACGCTGAGGATCTTGCACGCTCACAAAAGGCGAGATTTAGGATTTAGCCCTGAGAGCAGCTCTCCAAAAAGCTGCAACTGTCATTCATTCATGCAGAGGAAAGTAACAAATTTGCAGCTTGGATTTCTCAGGATCTGAAGGATCTAGTGATGGTCTCAAATAGTGCTTAACACACAGGAGAAACTACGTTTTTTAAACAGCTACATAGTTACTTACAAAATGGCAAGTAGCATCTTATAAAATTTGTTTGCAAGGTCCCAAAAGATACAATTTCATCTGCTGGGGTCTTGCAAACAATTTCCTGGAAAACTCTTGTATGTCATTTTTAAGACTACAATCATCAAGGGACACCAAAGTTCATACTACCTGCCATTACGAGTACAACATGTTCAATTAAAATCTTGCTCCATTATTAATTCTTTGTTATGTTGACTAATAATGAAAGTACTCACTGTTTCTCTGCTTGATTCTGGGAGATGCAGGCCATCTGAAGATTGCATGATAGTTTCTTGTGCTATGAGCTTAGAAACACTGAACACTTTAACTTTAGCTTTGGAATTTCTGGAGCTGCTGTTCAGAATACTGACTGCAGCTTCATTGTAAGCATCTATTTTCTCATTAGTGATCATTTTCCTACTGTCACTCAACATATCTTCATAAACAGGATCTGAATTTAAAAGAATGTTAAGCTTTATTAAAAAAATCAATCATAATCACTCAAATTCTATAGACTATATTCATCCTAAAAGATTAATCATAATTTTTCAGTGCTACACCATTAATTAACGTTAAAAAATTAACGTTTTACCATTTGTATTATAATCCTTGTTTTTTTTAAATGAGGTTTAAGCCCAATAGTTCACTGTAATCTTCAAACTGGCATACAAGAATTTAGTTTGGGAGCAAGTTTTCCTAAAACCTCTCAGAACATGTATTTAGTCATCTGATAAAGAAGAGATTTTCTCTTCTCAAATACTCTTGCACATTCCAATGAACCCACATCAACATTAGTTTGGGATTTATTTTTTTAAAGCCTAACTCTGCTTGTTCAGAATTCGTAATGTTGAATATATCAACTCAACGTTAGAATGGGCACATCAACCATCAATACAGCTAAGGTTACATAAGTATTTACATTCTAATCTAAAAATCCAGAAACATCAAAATTAAAACAGGACTAGCTACCTTAATTCTGTCCCCTCATATTCATTACATCACTATCTTTAAATTCATGATCAAACACTAGTTCTCAATTCAATACATCACACTACTTTTCCTATAACCTTAAAAACACACTAAAATACTTATATTTTTCATACCTCTATACTTGTGCTATTTTCATAGTCCATTATATCTTTATTGATATTGAATTTTTATACATGTTCTCCAAGCATATATTTTAATGTAATATATCACTTTTTTCCAATTAGCAGCACAGCTGGATGGAGTTCAGGATATGAGGCACTTAACTGAACTAATGTAGATGGCCTTTGTATTTCTGCATAATTTTCACTACTACTTTATGACATACTGAAACTGTAAAAAGGTTGGGCAAGAATTGGTTATTTTGTATGTTTTCATACAAAAGAAGCAGGTCAGGCACAAGTTGAAGGTTCAAGATTTGAAGGACCCTATTAAGCGTGACCACTTCCAAGCAGTCTTAGAAGAAAAGCTCCCATCAGTTTCCAGAAGAAATTGAGGAACATTGGAGCCAGCTGAAAGCAGTAATCATCAATGCCAGTGAGGAAAACGTAGGCTACCAAACCATAAAACATCAGGACTGGTTTGATGAGAATGATGCTGAAATTGAGCAACTCATAAATGAGGAGAATGACATTTCGTCCTTGGCAAAACGACATAAATTGTAATATAAAGAGAGAAGCCCATGCCAAGGTGATGGTGGAAGTACAACATAAAACCAGAGAACTCAAGAACAAATGGTGAACTGAGAAAGCGCAAGAACTCCAACAACCCGCGGACATCCACAATACATGTGGATTCTTTAGTGCCACCAAGGCTGTTTATGGGCCAATTTGTCATGGTATGAATCGTCTTCGCTCTAAGGACGGAAGCACACTTCTGAAGGACAACGAAGCCATCGATTCTCGCTGGAAAGAACATTTTGAAGATCTCTTTAACCATAATTCTATGGTTGCAGATTAAGTCCTTGAGCAAATCCCTCAACAACCATTTAGGGATGAGCTCGGAGACCCTCCCAATTTGTAAAAGGTACACAATGCTACCAAGCAGATGAAGAACAACAAGGCAGCAGGTCTAGATAGGATCCCCGCTGAAATCTTTAAAAACGGTGGACCAGAGCTAATTCGGCAGCTTTACCTGCTTATCCTTAAAATCTGGATAAAGAAGGAAACACTCAGTGAAATGAGGGATGCCCTGATTGTCACCCTCTTCAAGAAAGGGGATAAAGTGGATTGTGGAAACTATCGTGGTATCTCCCTCCTAACCATTGCAGGCAAAGTTCTAGCATGGATCCTTGCAACCCGCCTTCTGCCTCTGTCAGAAGAAATTTTACCAGAGTCATAGAGTGGTTTCCGACCATGTTGTGGAACAGCAGATATGATATTCACAGCACAGCAGCTGCAAGAAAAGTGTCGGGAGCAAAACCGACTGCCGTACATGGCTTTTATTGATCTAACTAAAGCCTTTCATTCAGTCAATCACCGTGATCTCTGGACTGTACTTTCTAAGATTGGATGTCCTTATAAATACATCAATGTCCTAAAATTGCTTCATAATAACATGAAAGCGACTGTTTTGAGCAGCAATGGCTCCCAGAGTGAACCTTTCAAAATACAAACAGGAGTCAAACAGGGCTGTATCATCGCTCCAACCAAGTTTGCGTTTTTTATGGTCGTCATTCTTTACCTAATTGCTGGGAAGTTTACAGCTGGCATTGAAACCATTTACAGAATGGTTGGAAAGCTGTTCAGGCTTAGCAGCCTGAAAGCCAAAACTAAGATTTCCACAACATCTACTGTGGAACTTCATTATGCTGATGACAACGCAATCTTTGCCCACTCTGAGAAAGATCTTCAAACTATCTTGAATGTGTTTGCCGATGCTTACGCATGTCTTGGTTTCACTCTTAATATCAAGAAGAGTGAAGTGCTCTATCAGCCCTCTCCAAATGAGGTATTACATGCTCCATCTATCAAAATAAATGGAGTGGCACTAGAGAACATTGATCATTTCCTCTACCTTGGAAGTTATTTCATCCAAGGCAGATATTGATGCAGAAATTCAACATCACCTGAGCTGTGCCAGTGTAGCTTGTTCTCATTTACGGCACAGGGTTTTTGAAGATCACGACATTCGAACAGACATCAAGCTTCTTGTTTATCAAGCCATTATTCTCCCAACCCTGTTGTATGGGTCCGAAACTTGGACAACCTATAGACATCACTTGAAAGTCCTTGAGAGGCACCATCAACGCTACCTTCGTAAGATTCTGAAGATCAAATGGGAAGACAGGCGCAACAATATTAGTGTCCTGGAAGAGGCGAAGACCACCAGTATCGAGGCAATGATCATCCGTCAGCAATTCCACTGGACTGATCACATTGTCCGGATGCCAGACCATTGCCTCCCAAAACAGGTCCTGTTCTCTCAGCTGAAAGAAGGGTACCATAACGTGGGTGGACAATGGAAGCGTTATAAGGACTTGCTGAAGGACAAGCTAAAAAAGTGTAATATTGACAATTGACACTTGGGAGACACTTGCCCAGGATCACTTAAAATGGAGTGAAGTCCTAAGTGATGGTCCCCTGCATTTTGAACTTGCTCACCGTCAAGCTGAAGAGGACAAGAGGCACAGGAAGAAGGAGAGACTGGTTTCCAGTCATGGTCAACAGCCTCCTGTTGAGCCTGAAAACATCTGCCCTCATTGTAATACAACTTGTCGTTCAAGGATTGGCCTTATTAGCCACCTGACGACCCATAACTTCCATGGAAGATGATCATACTTGGTAATGAGTGATAGCCCATCATCATCATCACTCCTCCTGGGGGAATTCTCCACCAAAAAATTAAAAATTCTGCAACAAAAAATTAACAATGCTGTGCACAATAGTTTAAATTTTTTCAGAATTCTGAATATTTTATTTGTCAAAATAACACAATATAATCACACCAGTTTCAATTATTTTTGGTCATTTATTTCAGAATACCTGTAACAATACAGACAACAAAAAAAGATTCAGGAAATGTTTTTTGACAAATAGATTCATTACTAGGCATATTAATACAGAATTCTGAGTAATAATTCATTTAAACTATAATACAAAAGCGTATTTCCCACACCTCTCAGAAGCAGTGCAAAGGCTTGGGGGGAGTTAGGGGTAACGAAGGAGCTGAGGAACGGGGAAATAAATTGCTGGGAAGGAGCCTGGTGTGAACTTGGAAGGTTGTTGGGTATGGACGGGAAAAGTACGGAACAAGTTTTTTTGGGGCAGGCATTGAGGGATTGTTAGGGAGCTTCCCCTATGAAGACTCTGACTGACCCTTAGCCTCTCCCATTCAGTCAGGCACATCTGCTCCTGTCCTCATGTGTCCTTGCACTGCCCCTGTCCATGTGTCCCTCCACCCCACTCAGACACCCACTCTCCCCATCCCCATGTGGCCCTGCACTGCCTCCCCCTGTCCCTATGTGGCTCTGTACCCCTCCCTGTGTGTCTCTGCTCCCACCCAGCCACTCCCCTGTCCCTGTGTCCCTGAAACCCTCCCCGTCGCATGTGTGTCTGTGCTCTCATTCAGCCATCCTCTGTCGCTCTGCTCTCCCTCCCCGATCACCATGTGGCCCTGCACTTCCCTCCCCTCTGTGGGCCTGTGCCTCCACTCCCCCATTCAGCCCCTGCCCCAGTCTGTCCTCCCCCACTACCCCTTATGAGCTCCTGCCTGACCCCCCCTCTCCCCAGCATCCCACGCCATCTGTCTCCCCATAGTCCCTGTCTCCTGACCTGGCCTGACAGGCGCTGCGAAGAAGGCAGGCTCCTTGTCTTCCCTAGCTGGCCAGGAGCTGCTGCTGTGTTCTATTGCCACAGCGCCCTCTGGTGGGCAAAAGGCAGAACTCAGAAGTTATTTTCTGCTGGGAGATGCTGCTGTTCTTGCGCCACAGCGCCCTCTGGTAGGCAAGAGGCGGAACTGCAGCAACATTTCAGCAGAAGCTTCTTTCTGTGCAAAAAATTAAAAATATGCATGGCTCATTAATTATGTGCACGCAGTAGTGCAGAATTCTCCCAGGAGTAGTTTCATACTAATGACTTTAATGGATTGATGTACAGAATAGTACAGAACACTATCACATGCCCCACGTGTATCTGAGGGCTTAATCCTGCAAAACACTAATGTGCACAGTGCTTCATACCATGAGCAGTTCCTCCCAGGTTTCAGACACAGATACTGATTGCTATGGGGCTAATTAGAGTAGTAAGCACTACATTTAATAAGTATGCACAAAATAGGGTCATAAAGTTATAGAAAAATTGCATATGTTTTATTATTTGAGAAATCGTATGTGATCATATAATTAAAAACAAATACAATACATAAAACGTGAAAGAGCTGAGACCACATGTGTAACCTGAACTTTGGCAAAACTTGACTTGTAAACCATTAACTAAGCAAGCTTAACATTTTCTTAAATTTTTCTGCTGTTTTTTATTTAAGTTAAAAATCAGCCATGTTATTAAAATTTGAAAATATTTTACACCAACAGCCTATTTGATGTATGTAATTAACTATAGTCATGGTTGCATATTGGGTGTGGGTACGCCCAGTCTCAGTGCGCCTCTTTGGAAAATGTATCCCTTTCTGGCTAACGGCTAACTTCATAATAAAAAAATGGAAAGGAGCATTTCTCTTAAGCTTTATCATGGGTTATAAGTCAAGCAATTTGAAGAAGTTTTATTACAGGAATCTTTCAACGAGAGGTCAGTGTTTAGGGGGATTAATATTTTTCTTTTCAGGAAGAAGAAATCAACTGGTTATGTCTAGATATAACTGTCAACACATGTAATTTCAGATAGCTCTAACTCATGAAGGTAGGAACAGGCCAAATACATGGAATGTACAGTCAAGAGGAAATGGATGGAATCTAACATACCAATATTGACAAAGATCCAAGTCTTCCAGATTGGATATCAAAATTTTCTGAATATTTATGCACACACTAGACTGCGCTGAGGTTGTTCATAAGTAAAGCAAGGCAGTGAAAGATGGTTTAGTCCTCCACAGCCTGCAAAACTGTCATTCATATCAGACAATTACAGCACAAATTATAGTTATCTACTGTATTTTACCTTGTAAGACCCAGTATACATCACTACTCTTTGCTAATTTTTCCAAAAGAGGTGCTATTGAAGTGATATTGATTTTATATTGCATGAGGGCTTCGTTGCTGCCATTGTGAATCTTGATAGACCACTAGAAGATCAAATAAAAAAAAATTCAGTTTCTGTATCTCTAAAGTATATACAATCATAAAACTTTACTGATTCCACTCCATCATTAGCAGCTATTTTCAATACTATTATAGAACCTGTCTATTTCTTAAATATTTTAATAAGCTATGAAGATTTGTGGTGGTATCTATTTAAGTACTACAGTGAAGGGGAACATTTATGTATCCAAGTGCCTCCCAAATATTTAAATAAAAAATTTACAATAACAATCTTTCTCTGTCTTCCTTCCCAGCCTGTAATAGAAATAGTTGAGGAAATTCTTTAAATTATTGTTCTGTGTGTGTCTGTGTTGACATTACAGAGGGAACACAGAGCCAAAAAGATGAGTTTTGTATGAGCCTGAACGTGGTGAGACCTGTAGCCATTGTAATGTTTTGTGGGAGTGAATTACATGATCTAGGTCCATTTCCTATGAAAGGTCTTTTCTTCCACACACTCAAGCCTGTTCCAGCTGGTCAACAGTTTCATTACTTCAGTGGAAAGTAGCTATTGTGAGAGGTCATAATCTTGGAGGGAGAAACAAATTTATTCTGAAACTATGCCCAATCAGATAGAGAATGCTGAATATCAAAACAGATACTTTTGCTAAGCCCAAGAAGGGGCACAATATTCTGGCCAGTCAAAGTCAGAAATGAAAGTTTCTGCTACCATCAGTACTTCAGCATCAAATAGTGCTGAGGAGTCCCATGGACCCAAAGGCTTCAGAACAACTTAATCTGAGGGCAGACATGCTTGGTAGTGGTGTGGGGCATAGGCAGCAGAAATAGGAAAGTGCTTCAGAAACCTGAGTATTACTTCAGTCTTGCACGAGTTCAACTTTGGCCAACTGGAAGATGGTGCTGTTTAGTATGAGATAAAGAACACAGAGAACTGAGTGTCATCTGTGTATAGCTGGCTCATTTTTCTCTTTCATATCCACAAAGATAAAGGTGATGCCCTTGATTACAGTTAGGTAGAAGGGGTCATTTTGGTACTGGACTATCTATAAGCAGTAGTTAGGGAACAATAGTTGCGCTTCACTGGTTCTTCTAGTTCTTGACTGGGTAGAGTTTTCTGTAAATATATTTTGGAATTTGATTTTCAGTAGACCATGATGGTGGTTTTTTCATCTTATATCAGAGAGTTTTCATTTCTATGTGGGGTAGGACATGGTGCAATCAGGATTGGGGGGTTATTCTTAAGTTTCTTATGTTAATGTCCAGCCTTAGGCCATGTCTACAATACAGGTGCTATAAAGGCTCACCTACGGCACTGTAGCTATGCTGTTGTAGTACTGCAGCATAACAGTTTCCAAAAATGATGGAAGGGGTTTTTCCGTCGCTGTAGGTAATCCATCTCCGCGAGCGGCAGTAGCTAGGTCAATGGAAGCTTTCTTCCCTCGTTGCTTCTACACCAGGGGTTAGGTCAGCACAGCCATGGCTGAGCAACATAGCTTTGTCAATCTAAATTTTAAGTGTAGATCAGGCCTTACTATTTTGTCTGGGGTACTGGTGGATGTGTGTCTGTGTGTGAAAGAGAGACTTCTAAGAAAACTTATGAGAAACAAAAAGCACAGAGTTCAGATAGGAGTTTTAGGCGATCATCTGTAGGGAAGTCTCCCAAGATGGTGTGATACTGGCAGACCAGGTACTAGCTCATGCCAAGACCCCCAAGCCTCACTGAACACTGACAAATGCACAGCTGGAAACCAGTCTGGCCCATCTGTGTGTTAGTATTATTAAAACAGGTAGATTTATAAAAATGTGTTTAGACTGTATAAAATTCTTGTGAGTTGTTGCATGCATTAATCTCACACATAATATCAGTGTCCCATGTTATAAGGTAATATTTAGGTGTTTGCTCTGCAACTATGAAGCCCCACAGTCAGGAGAGATGCATTAACAAGTGTGAAATACTAGTTTACCACAAGAGGCGTCATCTCCTACTCAATGAAACAAGGCCCATAGACATCAGACAAGCTATTGTGAAACATAAGGGGACAAAAAACTTTGTTGATTACTCCCCCCAAACCCATGAAGAGAGGAGAGTGCACAAACACTCATCCCATCAGCTTGAGTTTTGGGGGGAAGGGGATAAAAATCCCTGTCAAGAAGAAATTGTTATCCCTATGCTGTTTGAACTCTGAAGGGCAAAGACTACTAAGCATAAGCAAGGGACCCCAAGCTGTTTAGCTTGGGTTAGCCCCAAAGGGTATATAGACCTTGCATATTGCAACAGTTTCTATCATCTTTTGAAACTGAAGACTATAACTCATTTGTGTGTGCATGTTTACCTGCTTTAATTTTTGTAAATAACTCATTTATTTTCCTTATTTAATAATAGTTAATAAATCATTTATTTTTCCTTAGTTAATAAATCTTCAGTTAGTTTATTATAGCATTGGCTACAAGCATTGTTTTTGGTTTGAGCCTTGAGATGCAACTGACTTAAGGAAAGTGACCGGTCATTTGAGCCTGGGAGTAGCCTGAATATCATTTTGATTTTTGGTGTAAGGCACCATCTATCCCAAAGGCAGGCTTGCCTGGAGTGCTAATATAGACTGGAGTACCCAAGGGGACTGTCTGTGACTCTACATCAAGTCTGTTATAGTGCTTGAGAAGTTCATGCTTGATACTTACTTAGTTGGTGAAATTTAAGCGCAGAACTCACAATCAGTTTGGGGTTTGTGTCCTGGTTTCTAATAGTCGGCCTTGATGCTGGTATTCACATTTGTGAGCGATTCCAGACAGCTGACATACGGCTCTTGAGAACTTTTTGACTACATCAGACTACATGAATACATTACCTCTTCCTGGAAACTTTTGGTGCCAGAGGTTTATAGATTAGCAGGACTCCTAGACAAGTATTGTCTCCAAATTCACAGATCAAATAGCAGCACTCAAAAGATTTTGTTTCCAGTGTGCTACTCCTGAATTTGAGCCAGAGTGGACTGATTTGAACCAAAGTGATTTAAACTGACAAATGTAATCATGATTTCAGTCAGCAAACAGGAAACCGTGATTGAAACTGATTATTTAAATCACGTTTTGCATTTGTACTTTTTAGTTATTTTCCTAAAGAAAGGCTAATTCTTCTTAGTTGGTAATCATTAAAATATGTTGAATTGCAACTAAGTATAGCTTTTACATTAAATTGGGGTATTTTTGCTACCCAGGATGATGTCATTAAAGGTGGGAGATAGTAGGAAGACTAGTCCATGTCCTGAAGTGATGCTGATACCTGGCATTGGGGGAAGGACCCTACTCCTCTTCCTACTGGAAGTGGGGAGAGAATGAGGACTAGTCTACACTACCACATAAAACCATGTAACTTACATTGCTCAAGGGTGTCAAAAAAACACCACCACCCCCAGTGACGTAAGTTACAGTGACCTAAGCGCTGTCCACACCCGCACTATGTAGGTGGCAGACACTCTTCCGTCGGCATAGCGCGTCTTCACCAGATGCGCTACAGTGGCGCAGCTGCATCGGTGCTGCTGTGATGAGGTAGCACTCTAGTGTAGACTTGCCCTGAGGTTCAGATTCCTGAATCAGGATGTCAAAGCTCACAGTCTCAGGAAGCACAGATACTTAGGTGATTCCTGGTAACAGCAGAAGGGGGTATTCTACAAGTCGACAGAGTACAGAAGACTTTAAATTAAGTAAGAAGAATGGATTCCTGGAAGGAAAACCTTGCAGACAGGACCATCATCAAGGTCAATACTTTTTTGAAAACAATATTCATTAAAAAGTTTATATTCAGTTGGCCAAATTATTCATACAAATATTTAAAACTTTTATGAAGTACTTGGTCTACCTTCTCAGAGGATTTGTTCTACATTTCATCCATTCATCAAGCCAAAACACAATCTTTAACAATGAAACAGTGAGAAAATATTACTGTACATCACACAAGTCTATATACAAATATTACTCTGATATTTTAAAAAGTATTTGTTATAACAAGAACAAGACATTTGGAATAGAAGATTGACAATCAGTGTATGTTTTCCCTTTTGAAATTAAAGTAACTATTTCCTCTTGTAACTTTTCTAGAAACACATGTCTTCTCCTGTAATAATTTCCATACATTCACACCAGAATGCCTACTGGATGAAAAGCTTACCGTAGCAGCTCCTGCTACAATTACATGAGGTTTTGCAATAGAACCCTAAAACACAAAGTAAAAGAGAGATTAGTCTTCTAAATATCTTCACAAATCACTAAAGCTATTATTCAATTTATTGCACAAGTTATTTAACATCTGTGCCTTGATTTTATCACACCTCCGCTGTCTTGTGAGGCTAAGAATTTGTAAAGCAGTGAGATCCTCAGATGTAAAGTTCTATGTAAGTGCAAAGTATCATTATGTCTCCATATGTTCAAAATCATTTATCGAGCTAGGCAGTATTTAAGTTTGCTCTTTAAAAGCTATCTAGGCATCTACTCATAAGATGTTACGCATTGCTAAATCACACAAACAAGCATTATAGCAGCTGAAATAAATATTCTAAACATTTGTGATCTGGCATGTTCATTGTTATGAAGTGGCCAATGACTGAAGGTATTTGTCTAAATAATTAAGTGACAATTATATTATTATTATTATTTGTAGTATTGTTGTGCCTAAGAGTCCTATACACAGACAGGACCTCACTATGCTACGTGCTGTACTCACACAGAACAAAGAATCCCTGTCCCCAAAGAGTTTACAAGCTAAATATAACACAAGAGACAGATAGAGGCAGACGGGGGGGTTACAAGAAAACAATGAAACAATATTAGTCAGCATGATGGGTAGTGGTCTCTGCACACTAGCAACCTAATTGCTGTCAAGCATTTTGTAGCCATCATGGAAAAGGACAATTTTAAAAAGGGTTTTGAAGGAGGATAGAGAGGTAGCTTCACAGATGTTTACAGGGAGCTCACCGAAACCTGAGGGGCAGCATAGGAAAAAGCACAGAGATGTTTGTTTGAAAATTTAAGAAGTGGTGAGTGCTTTAGTGGCATAATGAGCTATTATAGAATCATCAAAGGAAGAAACCCAGAAATGGCAACTATTCTTTAGTAAGAGTCAATTTGTGAACAACTTTACTAATTATCAAGAGAGATACATGTTCAAATCGTTATACTTGTTAAGTATAGTAATTTGAAAGAACACCTAACATGCTGGATAGCAAGAAAACAAGAATATTAGATAGTACGTATAACTAGTGCATAATTTTAAGATCCAGTGCACCCCCTCCAAGTTTGCAAGAGTTCACCAGATACTACAGAGCTGTGGGATTCTTTGTAGACTTTCATTTGACCTCTAAACTTCGAGTCCACATTGTGAATTTCTGCAGTTTGTGTTAGCTTGTTCTGTGTGAATATATACTGTTGATATAATAGATCTAACACTATATCTTTTTAGAGCTCTTATTGTATAACTTGATTTCAATTTTTTAAATTATTATTCTCCTTTATCTACATCCAGAACTTGTACACAATACAGGTTAAGCACATGGAACAATAGGAGATTAGGTCCCTCAATCTGTTGGTATTTTCTAAAGTCAGTATATTTTTAGAACACACCTCAGCCCAAGATTTGATACATTGCTTCATAGAGCCATTAACTTCTGGATACCATAGGAAATCCTGTAAAAAGAATGTATCTGTGAGTAAATTTAAGCGTAGTTCATCATTCAGAAAATGCACGTCTATATCAACTGCAAGCAATGCATTTCATACACAGAAAATTACACTGGTCCAAATTTTTCTTCATTTCTTTACTACATTCATGGACCAATCATAGATGAAAGATCTGATGTCTTAATCGGCCAGGAACAAAGGGTAAAATAAATGGGAGTTTTGTCATTTACTTCAATGGAGCCAAGGTTTCACATAGAATCTAAACCTTTAAACGAGTTGGAAGCGAAGAGTCTCAGTTTTCCAATGATATCAAGGACAAAAACAAATGTTTTAAGGTTTACAAAGGATCATATCAGTGTATTCTAGTTAACTTTTTGCTTCATTCCCCACAACTTTTCGCAACAGCTATCTTGCAAATCTCTGCACTTGAAAACCAATTTTCTGAAAGCTTAATATTCCAGGTTTCAAACTATGTTGAGTCCTAACATTTAACACTAGAATTTCACGTTACTGACTTCTAAAAATAGAGCAGAGAGAAACAAAAAGGGCCAATGACTTGCACTTTATTAAAATCATTCCCCTCAATAAAAATAAAATCTCTAAATTAATTCCAAAAGATTTATGTAAAACTTTATATGTACCTCAGCTAATGTTATTCCCTCTCCTAAATAAATCTGAGAGGCCATTTAAGGCCCAGCCTGCTTCTTAACATCATAAGTAGTTTCTGCTTCCACAATCAAGAGGTACTACAGTCTCCTAAAAAAGTACAGTGGAGAGTGTCAGATCAAAGGGAAAATACAAAACAAAGAACTACAACAAAACTTTATAATGAAGACAGAAAGACTGTCCTAGCACAAAGTTACACTTCTCCTCTCCTGAATACAACACTGACCATCCTTTTTAAATCATAGCTCCCTCCAAAGACCTAAGTAATCCACTCAACATGCACTCTCTCGATGAATTATATGGAAAGGAGTGGGAAGAAAGTAATGCTACTGAGGTCTTTGCAGGAAGACCCCACTCCCACACCACTGGGGATGGGGAAGGAGAACAGAGTTCTCCTTAAAACCTACCCACAACCCACAAGTGTAAGAGAGTGTGTGTGTGTGTGTGTTGAAAAACCTTGTACACTGGTGATGCATCTGGCTCACTCTGTTACTGCAATCAAAGTGGACCCAGGGCAGAGAATTGGTTGGGGTGACAAAGAAAGCTCATCTGAATTTACCACATTCCTTGCTCCAAATATCACAAACCACTTTCATTGGAAGGGCCAATTATCAGATCTGATGAGAGGACTAATATTGTATGTCACTACTATCGAGTTCAAAGCTCCTGTAAGATAATGGAACTGATTTAAAAAAACACCACAACCCACACACACCTCTAAGGACCTTACTCAGATTTCACTAAATTTTAAGATACAAATCTTCAGGGTGGGTGGGAATCAGACCATAAATGGTGCTGACCACCTGCAATCCTGATTGACTTCTGTTTAATTTGTGACTGATCAGTATCTCTGAAAAGAGGTCTTTAATTGTTTTCACCTGAAGTACAGGGGGAGCATATAAAATTATACATTGATTATTATAGCTTGGAGCTTATTATCATAAAAAACTTACCACTTTAATTGATGCAGATTTGTCTTCAAAAAGAATGTGTCCATGCTGCCAAAATAAAAAACAAGTTAAACTTGTTCTACTGGAAGGTATGTTCAAATACTGATCCCTCTCATTTCTAGAACTTTACAAATTGTGGATATCCGTGGACCATTTTTGTGGATCGGGTGCAGATACAAATTTTGTATCCATACAGGGCTCTACTCATCTAAGGCCTCATCTACACCAAAAAGTGTTTGCTAGTACAGCTCCTAGAGGAGACAGTTTATATGAGAAAAATAGTTATTTTGTCTGCACAGCTTATATCACTTCCTGGAGGAAATAAGATATACTAGCAAAAGTTGTTTGTGGGTTTTTTTGTTGCTGGTGTAACTGATTTTTTTCATGCTCCTAACTGATATAGCTATGCTGGCAAAACTTTGAAGTGTAGCTCAGGCATATGGTGCTATGTCCCCAGAGCAGCTCCTGGGAACACCACAGCTTTCTATTACCAAATGATTCAAAAAGTCTGAAATCTTTCCTTTCTAGACATCACTATTTTTCTTAATACTCCTCTCAAAGGACCGAAATAGAAACAAAACATTTTCCTCTCACACTTCCCTGGTCTATACCACTAGTATGCCTACTTTCCTGCTCCCCCTGTACTCTAACAGCTGAACCAATTTTGCTCAAAGTTTCCAGAAAAAAATAAAATCACCACAGGCAGAAATCAAGCCTGGAATATGTAATTCATAACTTATTGACTGAAAACAGGAGATTAGGATGGAATAAGTCAGGCATCCTTAATTACAGTAGACACAGATACTCCTTTAACATTAAGCTGAGTTGTATTATTTCAGTTTCAATCCCTGAAACAAAAAGGACAAGTGCACTTTCCCTCCACAAACTGAGCTGAGGTACCGTACACAAATATACCCATTCTTTCTCCATAAGCCAGTGAGTCCCCCTGCTCAGCCATCCTGAAACTTCCTCAGGATGCATTTAATAGATATCCTCCAATATCTATTAAATGCACTGTTACTCCATCAGTTTCAAAAGCATTTGACACAAAGGTCTTCCAGCTCAGAACCAACCAAACTACTCCTCCCCACCAAATTCTCATAATTGCCAAAATACTCCCCACCTCTGGCAAGCAATCCAACACCAACCCCCAGGCTAGGAAAAGTCCTGTTATCCAATCAGCCAAACATCTGGCTTTGACAAGTGAAATTTAATTACTTGCTGCCTGCCAGACAGATTGCTATTGTGCATTTAAATACCCCGATTGTATTAAATAATTGAAAAGTGTGATAAATGAAAGGCAGTGGTAGCTCCCTTTTATGGATACCCAGCCAGCCAGCAGCTATAAAATCCCTTAGTAGCTGTTCTCTAATTGCTCTACCTGTAAAGGGTTAAAAAGTCTCACTGCTATGCATAGGTGAAAGGAAGTGAGTGGACACCTGGCCAAAAGACCCAATAGGAAGGCTAGAACTTTCTAAAATTGAAAAATGACTCCCCTTTTGTTGGTCTGTGGTTGTTCTCTGGGGAGAGGCAGAGAGGGTGCAGTTATGCTGTAAGAAGCGTGGTGCCAGATATGAAAAATCCTCAGTATCATATCTGGAAACTACTTTGAACCCCAGATATGTAAGTAGATCAGAAAATGTCTAGGAAGATGCAGTTAGGTTTATCTCTTTTTATTTATTTCTGGCTTGTGGACTACTCTGTGCTAACCCTAAGTGTTTTTGTTTTGCTTGTAACCTTTAAGCTGGACCTCAAGAAAGCTATTCTTGATGCTTAATCCTTGTAGTAGGCTGATTTTATTTTTTTTAAATCTAGCAATAGCCTGATTTCCCAGATGTGTTTTTTCTTTTCTTTTTTTAATAAATAAAGTTTACCTTTTTTTAAGAACAGAATTGGATTCTTGTGTCTTAAGAGGTTTGTGCATGTTGTTTAATTAGCTGGTGGCAACAGCTGATTTCCTCCCCCCCCACCTGCGGGGGGGGGGGGGGGAGGGCCTGAGGGTACCCCACAGGAAGGAATTCCCAAGTGTGCGTTCCTGGGTTCTCAAAGGGGTTCTGCACTTGGGTGATGGCAGCATCTACCACTCCAAGGTCAGATAAAAGCTGTAACCTTGGAAGTTTAATTCAAGTCTGGAGTGGCCAGTATTAATTTTTAGAGTCCTTGTGGGTCCCCACTTTCTGCACTTGAAGTGCTAGAGTGGGGAATCAGCCTATACAACCAGTCTGACCTGAAGCTGAATACAAACCCTGAACAGCAGAAGAAGTTAATGATTTGGCTGCCTGATAAGCTATATTGCTATAGTCTATCTCTGGCTCCACTTAGCAAGCTGTGCTTCACACTTATCTTCAGAAAATGAACACAGAACTGTTTTTCAGTGGCATTTACAAGAAAGGGAAGGCAGAAAGCTATTTTTAATTTCAGCCCCAATCAGACTTGCATATCAGTCAATGCATCTAGGATTTCAGTGCCGATTAAATCAGCAATTAATCTTTCAAGAAGTGACTTACAACAAGACTTGAATTAATTAATACTGGCTAAAAAAAGACAAAAAAACTTCACTGGCATAGATCAGATTGGGCTCCCTCTGCTGGCAGCTCATCAGCTTGCTATGAGGAGACCCTGCCATTGGTTCCCTGGGTGTTTTAAGCCTCTAACGTCTGAACAGCGCCCACTGTCCCTGTCTTTAGGTCCCTAGGGACATCTCTGGAGCACAAATCTTCTGTCTAGGCTGCAACCATATGGCCCAGCTTCCTAGCCCCTCTGGTCTCACTGCTGACTCCTCAGCCCCCACCCCAGTTTAAACACACCCTTTCCCAGAACTCCAAAGGCATAGGCCTTCTACTTTCCCCTCTTCAGAGGGCCATTTGATAGGTGTAACATATAACAGATACTAACACGTTATTGCTCTTTACTTAAGCATGACAAATACATAGAGGGTATAGATCATATAGAAAACAACACACATTCTGAACACAATGCCCCTCACTGTAGCTCACTCTTCGCTTGGAGGGCCATCTATGTTCAGATAGGCAGGTTCCTCCTGTCCCAACCTCATCCATTTCTTACAGCTGTCTCCTGCATCTTAAACTGGTGAAAAATTACCAAAGAACTCCCAACAGAGCATCTTTTATAACCTTCCAGTCCCTGTCAGGTGACCTCCTAATCAGCCTCCCCAGGTGACCAGAGCCCAATACCAGATGACTTTGTTACCAAGTGACCCCTCCCCATCTAGCCAGTTCTTGGGGTAGACATTATCTTACTGTATAGGATGTTTATATTTGAAAAGAGGATTATACCAATTTAACAACTGTCTATTGTCAGTCCTGCATCACTATGCCTTGGCATTTCTGTCCAATATGGAGGTAAAGAGATCACAGAGAAGGCACCTTGTCCCCACATTCAAAACAGAGTTTGCCAATTGGTAAAGACACAGAGTTCATAATCTCACAGCGAATTCATAAATTGTACAGACAAATTTCCATTTTCTCACCAGAAAACCAAATCTCACTTAGGGCATGGCTACGCTCGAAACTTCAAAGCGCTGCCACAGGAGCGCTCCCGCGGCAGCGCTTTGCAGTGCGAGTGTGGTCGCGCGCCAACGCTGGGAGAGAGCTCTCCCAGAGCTCCTGGTACTCCACCTCCACGAGCGGATTAGAGCACTGGGAGCACGGCTGGGGCACTGTTTACACTGGCGCTTTACGGCGCTGTATCTTGCTGCGCTCAGGGGGGGTGTTTTTTCACTCCCCTGAGCGAGAAAGTTGCAGCTCTGTAAAGTGCCAGTGTAGCCATAGCCTCAGTTGCCATTGGAGAAGCCACCTTAGTTTTCTTTCCCAGGCTGTTCAACTGTCATCTGCTGAATACTCCCTCTGCAAACTTCCCACTTCACTTCTCAGCATGCCAAACATTCCTGTTATCACCCTCTGACAACTGCTTGGGCCCAATCTCCCGCTCAAGTGCTTGATTTGTTTCTCTGCGGAACTATGCTACGTGGTCCCCTTTCCTGAATGTTAGGATAGTAAGTAGTATTATTTCCCAACAAATGCCCATTCCAGACATCAAAGTCTTTAGAAAAAACCCGGTTTCTGGTGTTTTCAACCTGGAAATTAAGTAAAGTTTTAACAGTGAAGTGACAAATTGGGGGGAAAAAAGACAGTCTTACCTTGTTTCCTTCTTCCTTCACTTGGGGTTTTATGAGTTTTACAAAAGAATAAAACAATTGGCGAATTCTGGAATCTCCTATAAATGCAATATGTTTGTCTAGGAGGCAGTTTTTTGCTTCACTGCAAAAAGAAACAGCATTACAAAATTAACATATTACATTATTTAAGGAATCAATTTAATGAAGGAAATTGACAATTCCTTAAAGGAAATCTTGAATGTTATACAGAAAATTCTAAACATTACATCTAACTCTAAAGAAGGGTAAATTGTTTTTTTAAAATACTGAATGCATTACATATAACTAGGAATAAGTATGAAATAAGGAGCCACCCTGACCATTTGATTCTACAAATTACTGCAGGAGTGAAAGGACTCTCTTTCCCATTGGGTGGTGCTGAAAAATCAAAAAGACTGAGTAGTTGTATAACTTTGTTGAGTAACAGAATAATTCTGAGTGATAAAGGTATCTGTCACGGTTTCTATATTAAGTGAATGAAGAGAAAAGTGATAGGTACTTTTATTTCTCAACATTATTTAGTCCATTTTCTTAAGAAAAAATTCTAAAAAAGGAATATATATTAACTATTTGGGATATTATAACTAAGAATTGTATTTGCCCTTTAAATCACAATTTGAAACCATATATAAAACATGTGATGCACCTTGAGCTATCTTGAAATTCTTCATAATAAACAAAACATGCAGTATAAATTATTACTACCACTCTTATCTATTTATATTTAGTAGCATGATCCTATTATGCTTAGCACCCTAGACACATAATGAAAAGAATATCTGCCACAAAGGACTTACACTAAGTGCCCTTTTCTGATCTCTGATAAATTATGTATTTCACTGTAACCCATTTAAAAACAATCAGATGCAAGCATGAAGACAGCCAAAAGAGATGAGGCTATAGAGACTCAAAAGACTGCAGTCCAGTATACAGATTTCTTACTACTTTCCCCTGTAGAGAACAGAATAAAAATAAAAGAATGTAAGGTGATATCCTTACCTATTTTTATATTTATGCATCATACAAGTATGGGGCTGCCATACTTTTTCCCCAAGAAATCTCCCACTGGAGAGAAGATATTCACATGTATCATCACCTTAAAAAAATTACACTAGAATTAGAATCCAACTACAAAATGTATCATAACCACCAACTACCTTATTTTTTTTAAAATAAATAGTTGAAGTTTAGACCACACAAAGGTAAGAAATCACTAGCACTGACTAGAACCAAGTATATTGTAAGGACAGGTTTCAGAGTAACAGCCGTGTTAGTCTGTATTCGCAAAAAGAAAAGGAGTACTTGTGGCACCTTACAGACTAACCAATTTATTTGAGCATAAGCTTTCGTGAGCTACAGCTCACTTCATCGGATGCATACTGTGGAATTATATTGTAAGGAGGTCCCATACAAATTTCCCCACATAATTTTGCCATTTATTACTTCTCACTTCTGTCTGAAAACATTCCTCTGTCTGCAGCCAAATGGTGATGATTGCCTAATTTCTACTAAGGAGCAGGTAGTGACCTGAACTAAATTAATACTTGGGCCTCCAGAGTTAAAAGAACAGAGCATCAATCCACTGCGTCACCTATCATTCTACAATTATAACAACATAAAGTGAAGTGATTAACATACTAGCACTCTAATGTAATGCTCTTCTGTAAAGATTTAGCATATGGTTTAAGCATTTTATATACAATCTAAGTCTAAAAAAGAAATGTGCAGGATTATCAGTTTGTATCTGCTTGCTTAAAATGTAATTACCACCTTAAAGCAGGCGGAATTAGATCTCAGTGTTTCAGCAGAAAGAGGTTTGCATAGGAATTCTCTGTAGCCTCTGATTCTGCACTGCAGTCAGCTCCTTCAGTCTAAAAGTTGCAAACTAAGGGTCAGCTACAGAAATGTGATTTTTTTCTTCAAGCTCAAGTAAATGAACATCTTAGGCATGAAACTAATAAGTCCTTTTTAAAATTGTTATGAATACCTGGGCCTGAAGAAAAAGGAAAGATTTTGCTGCTGTTCCCAAGATACTATTTTTCCAATAAATTAACATTGAAAAAGGTATGATTTCTGAACTTTCTCCCAAAAATGAAAAAACAAATGATATTCATGGGCACTAGACCTTCATTCAGAATGATTCCAAAGTGCTTTACAAACTATTTAGGAATCACTGGTTTTTAGCCATCTACAAGGTAAAATGCACCCACTGTACAGCAGTTCACAGCAACATTACACACTAGAAAAATGTAGTTATCTGAACTGAAATTTGTTCTGGACATAAGGAATAGCCATCTTAGTCTTGAGAAGACTATTATGAGATTTTTGGTTATCACGAGCCTAAGCCTCAATTGTGCATCTGATCCAGAAGAGGACACCTTTAACTGTACAGTGTCCCCAAACACTGACTCAAAGAGAAGGCTACTTAATGAATCACCACTACTTCATGAAGAACCTAGGATTTCTTTGGAGGTGTTCTAAGTACTGACCCAACCAAATCCTGCTTAGCTTGAAAAGTATGATGAGATCGCAGCCTCTGCAGTAACAAACAAAATTCTCACATATGTACACCATGCTTTGTTCTAATAGCGTAAACCTTAGACTTGGGTTCTCTGCATGGAAAAATCGTATCAAATTTTTATGTGGAGAACAGAGTTTCAGCAAAGCAAACTGAACACTAGTTTCTTATAGCATGGCACTAGAGAGAAGAAAACTAGAGGGGATATTTATTAATTTTCTATAACTAAGTTACAGGAAAATCTGTAGAAAAGAGATACAGTGTGTTGAAATTGCTTAATATGAACTTAAACACAGATCACTTGAGGATCTGCACGAAGACAAGAGGCAGTGGAAGAGAAAGGGAGAAATAAGCACACTGAATAAAGAAAGGTTATTTTCTCGTCAAAGTATTTTACACAGACAGCAGCAGATTCACATGAAGATGATGTAGCTGTGGTAGCATACAGAATGGACCCATTTCCTTTTCCTCCCCTGACTAATTTTCATTAGACAGAATTGCTCGGGGTTTGTTTTTAAATTTGATATACCTTCCCCAACTTGTATCTTCAGTTTTCCAAGTACAACTTCGAGACAACAACTCATTGGTCCCAATATAGGGTAGTGTTGCTATCACAGCATAGCTGCATGTATTTCAGTGTTGGGTGAAGATATATTAATAAACAAAAACATTAATAACTATAATTGACAGTGTATATAAAAGGAGTCTAACTTACATCCCTCCACCCCAAAAATACACTAGGTTTTCTCAGAATAGCTCTTCTACCTCAAAAATGAATAGTTAAGGCATGCAGCCAAATGATGTCTCATGCTATATATCTCTTCTCTTATCCCATGCAAGTTATATCTCCCACCCAATCTAAACTATGCCCCCTTTTGTTTTGAAATAATATACTGCTTGATATTCTTTGAAAAAATAATATGCCTCTTAATTAAAACTAAAAAATGTATTTTTGCATTATATTTCCTGGTTGTTGGAAAGACTTGAGGTATTTTCACCATTACCTGTCTTCTAATTAAAAAAAAATGTTTTTTTTAATTTAATATTAATGAGATTCTTATATATAAATATGTAAAGATTATATGACATACAAATTTTAAAAAACATATTTAAGATGCAGAATAATAAAGGAATACAAAGGGACAGAGAAACCTTTAGATTGAACATTTATTAAATTACATTGATTAACTAATAAAATTCTCAGTATATGCACTCTCACATTAGTATAGCCATGACAAAATAAGCGAATTCCTATGGAAGGTAAAACAAAAGTTAAAGTATCAAAGAAAAAGCTCATGTGGGAGAACTCAGCTACAAACAGAAAATTTCTTCCTTGTACCATGAGTTCAAATCATAAGCTGCCACATACCTATTTAATATTGTGAATAGGTAACAAAATGAATTCATGTCTACTTGCTTTAGATGGGGAAATCACGAATATCACAAAATAGCTCAGTCCCCAAAATTTTGCTATATTCTCTGTCATGAATATCCAATATTTCCTGCAAAATGTGAAATCTACAAATGTCATTAATATAATTTTTTAGCAGTGTATTTGTAGCGGTGTTGGTCCCAGAATGCGAGAGAGAGAGGGAGAAAAAGAAAAGGTTGGTGAGGTAATATTGTTTATTGGACCAATTTCTTCTGTTGGTGGGAGAGACAAGCTTTTGAGCTTCACAGGGGCTTTCCTTCAGATCTGGGCAAGATAACCAGAGTATAAGCTAAATACAAGTTGGGACAGATTGTTAAGCATAAGGGGTTCACAACTGATACAAAGATACTAAGTTCAGAAGGGACCATTATGATCATCTAGTCTGACCTCCTGCACAATGCAGGCCACACACATCTGTAAGACTACTTAACTGTTTAATGTGCACTTCATTTTAACAGGGAGTAGGGTGTGTTACAAATTGTTGTAAAGGACCATACTTAAACCTTGATTTTTAGTGTCTACCAGAGTTATGACTTTAAGTTCCCAGGCTCATCTTTTGAAGGTGTTGTTTTCTTTGAGGACATGGAGTGAGAGGTCAGATATGGAGTGACTGCATTGTGAAAAGTGTTCACCTATGGGTGATATTGATCACAGTAGAAGAGAAGATATGTCTGCAGATTTTGCATCTGTTGTTTTGGCAGAGTCTGGTGCTGCTTTCATTTGGTGTGTCCTTATCTGTGGGAATCTTACTTTTGATGATCAAACAACCCCCCACCCCCAACTTTGCCAAGCTGAAGGCCAGGATAGGGGGATGGGGAAAGATTTCTATCAGAAGTGTTCCCATCAATATGGGTTGTAATTGTTCGATAATACCCCATCAGCATTCTGGCATGGGGCGGTAGATGACACCTATGCAAGTTCAGTCAGTGGGGATTTTTATTTTTAATTTGAAGCAGGTTCTCCTGGGATATCCGGGTGGCTTATTCCATGATGTGATCTGCTTCTCTGGTGGAGTGTTCTTGTTTAGCGAAGGCAGTTTAGTGCATTTTGATGTACTTTCTCTTCGGAGCAAAGTCTATAGTATCTGAGTGCCTGGCTGTAGATAACAGATTTCTTGATGTGTCTGGGATGGTTGCTAGATCTGTAGAGATAACAATGGTGATTTGTCGGGTTCCTGTATATACAGTAGAACCTGAGAGTTACGAACACCAGAGTTACGAACTGACCTGTCAACTACACACCTCATTTGGAACCGGAAGTATGCAATCAGGCAGCAGTGCAGAGAAGAAGAAAAAAGCAAATACAGTACAGTACTGTGTTAAATGTGAACTAGAAAAAAATAAAGGAAAAGTTTAAAAATTTTTTTGACGAGGTAAGAAAATTTAAATGAAACAAGCACAGGAACAGTTAAGATAGTTAAAAGCGGCATTTTTCTTTTGCATAGTAAAGTTTCAAAGCTGTATTAAGTCAATGTTCAGTTGTAAACTTTTGAAAGAACAACCATAACATCTTGGTTCAGAGTTACAAACATTTCAGAGTCACAAACAAACCTCCATTCCCAAAGTGTTTGTAACTCTCAGGTTCTACTGTAGTTGTTTGTAGGATTTCGTTTGTGATGTGCTCTCCCGGGTGCCACCTGGAATTGGGGTACAACTGAGCCCCCTGACCCACCAGCCTGGGCTCCCTTTCACACTGTATTGTGTAACAAGCTGCAAAACCCTCCAGCCTGCACTTTCACCAGCATTCAGATAGGTAGGGACACACCTAGCTGCAGTTACACAAAGGCTCTCAAGCTACCAGCTTCCCAGCCTAGGACCCCTGAGCAGTACCATCCTGGCCTGGTCAAATATGGCCAGTACATGGGTTTAATACACGGTCCGCCTCTCCCTCAATGTAAAGAGAACGATGCACACTTGTAGTAACCAAGCAGAAATTTTCCCCATGCACTCCAGTCAAAGCTCACTGGTTTAGATTAAAACAAAACAAGTTTATTAACTATAAAAGATAGATTTTAAGTGATTATAAGGGATAGCAAACAGTTCAAAGCAGATTACCTAGCAAATAAACAAAAAACACTAACTAAGCTTAATATACTAGCTAGACTGTGTATGAATAGCAGATTTTCACCTTAACTGATGGTACAAGC